TATATTCGTAAATTTTGAGGTTTATCCTTCGCTTTTAAGATCATTGAATTGATTTTTATATAAAATAGTTATATATTAGAAAATAATATGAGTTTATGTGATATTATTTTCAGAAGATTTCATTCTATATGCCTATGAAAAGTACTCTCAAAACTAACTTTTTCCTAATTATAATTAAATCTAGAATATTGTATTATGCTTAGTATTATTTCATTTTTCTCATTCAATTTAGAATTTACAAATGTCAAAAAATTGAGAGCTGTCACTTTTGATGAATTTCTGTTTATTACAATATATGTATATTTATATATGTATATTTATATATGTATATTTATATATGTATATTTATATATGTATATTTATATATGTATATTTATATATGTATATTTATATATGTATATTTATATATGTTATTTATATATGTATATTTATATATGTATATTTATATATGTATATTTATATATGTATATTTATATATGTATATTTATATATGTATATTTATATATGTATATTATATATGATATATATGTATATTATATATGTATATTTATATATGTATATTTATATATGTATATTTATATATGTATATTATATATGTATATTTATATATGTATATTTATATATGTATATTTATAATGTATATTTATATATGTATATTTATATATGTATATTTATATATGTATATTTATATATGTATATATTTATATATGTATATATTTATATATGTATATATTTATATATGTATATATTTATATATGTCTATATTTATATATGTATATATTTATATATGTATATATTTATATATGTATATATTTAAAAGACGGTGGTTCACCAACATGATTATGAAAATGATGTCCATATACAAATCTGTATTGATTAGATTTCATTTCAAAGGTAAAGTTAGCACTACAACTTCCTCATCTACAGTAATGTCTAATAATTGTTACTCCATCTGAATTCAAATGCGAATCTTTCCGATAATTGCAGTTAGCACGCATCTCTGCTTGAACTCCATATTGAAGATAATGAATGAAATCAATATATTGTTTTGTATCAGCAAGGGGTGCAGGAACGGATTGATTCATTTAAAAAATGAAAAAAGTGAGAATTGTAAATAATTAAGGTTAATATTGAATAAATAATACATCAAACTAGTTTTAGAGTTGATAGTAAGAAGCGAAGAACACTACCAGTAAGATACAGCAGTAGTAGCTGCTTCATGCTGCATTGAGTATTGTTGAATAATTTGAAGTAGTGGTTTTTGAAATCAGCACCCTATGAGAGCGCTGGCGACCGAAACACCACTAGTAAGATTGTGTATTAGAAACTGCTTCATGCTGTGTTGAGTAAGCTTCGATATCTTTATCAGACCACCTTTAAATTAACCACTCACATTCTCACTGTGGTCCATCTAAAATTTGTAAACTTTATGACATAAAATTATATTATATGCAGGATCCCACCTATTACTTAATCTTTTTGGAATAAATGTTTTATAATATTTATCGATTGATTGTAATTTTTTGTATAAAAAAAGTTTTTTATTTATATTAAAAATATATTCGGTTAATGATATTTTCTTATAATTTGTAAATAAATCTAGTAATAAAATAACTTTAATAGTTGGTGTAACTTTTTCGAAAATTCTGGTTTTTTCATGTAATTGGCTAACAATTCTTCACCGTGATCACTGATAGCACGATTGATCAAAGATGCAGCCGTCTTTGGGTTAAATTCTGGGTCAAGTTCGTATTTTTTACGGTAATTATATAAGGTGGCAGGACAAACGTTTGTACTCTTGGCGAGAATTTCTATGAGACCTTTGTTAGCTGGATCCAAGCTGTCTTCAATGAGGCTCATTAGGAGAGATACTTGAGTGTCTGACAAATTTGCTGCATTTAACTTTTGCCTTGGAACAAGTTTGCCTAGTTGCAGGAGTTTCTCTGCAATGTGTTGCGGAATGGATTCCAGATTGGGTATATCTGTTTCTTCATCCATTTTTGTTGTTGGGCCATGAGTTCGAGGTTTGTTAGGTACCAATTTTTAAAAACGATATGAGAGGAATATATCGTTTTTAGTTTTTTTTTTAAAAAAAATATAAGTAAAGGGGTTTGTATTGTCAGTAATCTAAGGATGATGCTATCTTCTAGGTTTTGTATGACTGGCTTATGATTTGACTAAAGAATCTCTTGAAAATCTGACAATGCGTGGAATCTGGAGAAATGCAGCAGTTTGTATTGTTATCAATCTAAGGATGATGCTATCTTCTAGGTTTTGTATGACTGGCTTATGATTTGACTAAAGAATCTCTTGAAAATCTGACAATGCGTGGAATCTGGAGAAATGCAGCAGTTTGTATTGTTATCAATCTAAGGATGATGCTATCTTCTAGGTTTTGTATGACTGGCTTATGATTTGACTAAAGAATCTCTTGAAAATCTGACAATGCGTGGAATCTGGAGAAATGCAGCAGTTTGTATTGTTATCAATCTAAGGATGATGCTATCTTCTAGGTTTTGTATGACTGGCTTATGATTTGACTAAAGAATCTCTTGAAAATCTGACAATGCGTGGAATCTGGAGAAATGCAGCAGTTTGTATTGTTATCAATCTAAGGATGATGCTATCTTCTAGGTTTTGTATGACTGGCTTATGATTTGACTAAAGAATCTCTTGAAAATCTGACAATGCGTGGAATCTGGAGAAATGCAGCAGTTTGTATTGTTATCAATCTAAGGATGATGCTATCTTCTAGGTTTTGTATGACTGGCTTATGATTTGACTAAAGAATCTCTTGAAAATCTGACAATGCGTGGAATCTGGAGAAATGCAGCAGTTTGTATTGTTATCAATCTAAGGATGATGCTATCTTCTAGGTTTTGTATGACTGGCTTATGATTTGACTAAAGAATCTCTTGAAAATCTGACAATGCGTGGAATCTGGAGAAATGCAGCAGTTTGTATTGTTATCAATCTAAGGATGATGCTATCTTCTAGGTTTTGTATGACTGGCTTATGATTTGACTAAAGAATCTCTTGAAAATCTGACAATGCGTGGAATCTGGAGAAATGCAGCAGTTTGTATTGTTATCAATCTAAGGATGATGCTATCTTCTAGGTTTTGTATGACTGGCTTATGATTTGACTAAAGAATCTCTTGAAAATCTGACAATGCGTGGAATCTGGAGAAATGCAGCAGTTTGTATTGTTATCAATCTAAGGATGATGCTATCTTCTAGGTTTTGTATGACTGGCTTATGATTTGACTAAAGAATCTCTTGAAAATCTGACAATGCGTGGAATCTGGAGAAATGCAGCAGTTTGTATTGTTATCAATCTAAGGATGATGCTATCTTCTAGGTTTTGTATGACTGGCTTATGATTTGACTAAAGAATCTCTTGAAAATCTGACAATGCGTGGAATCTGGAGAAATGCAGCAGTTTGTATTGTTATCAATCTAAGGATGATGCTATCTTCTAGGTTTTGTATGACTGGCTTATGATTTGACTAAAGAATCTCTTGAAAATCTGACAATGCGTGGAATCTGGAGAAATGCAGCAGTTTGTATTGTTATCAATCTAAGGATGATGCTATCTTCTAGGTTTTGTATGACTGGCTTATGATTTGACTAAAGAATCTCTTGAAAATCTGACAATGCGTGGAATCTGGAGAAATGCAGCAGTTTGTATTGTTATCAATCTAAGGATGATGCTATCTTCTAGGTTTTGTATGACTGGCTTATGATTTGACTAAAGAATCTCTTGAAAATCTGACAATGCGTGGAATCTGGAGAAATGCAGCAGTTTGTATTGTTATCAATCTAAGGATGATGCTATCTTCTAGGTTTTGTATGACTGGCTTATGATTTGACTAAAGAATCTCTTGAAAATCTGACAATGCGTGGAATCTGGAGAAATGCAGCAGTTTGTATTGTTATCAATCTAAGGATGATGCAATCGACATTAATAATTTCATTTTCACTCATATCATTGTTGTTATTTCATCTTCTAAATAGATTATTTGCTTCCATTCTCTGAGCACAATATCTCACAGCTTCCATGTTAGGGTCGGCACACTAACACATCATGCAATGAGAATAGCTCGTAGAGCAATAAAGAAAAATGAAGTTATAAATAAACTATAGAATTTAAACGTATAAATTTAAATGTGTTAACGTCATTTTGAAGTGAATTTTACGATGTCAAACTATAGTTAACCTTGGAGCAATCTCTTTTCTGATTGCAGGCAGAGTTCTGCATCCTGAGGACTTTGCCTTGCAGATATGCTTGTAATCACTACGTGAGCAACTTGGTGTTGCAAGTTGCTGTCTTTACCGGTTAGCTTTTTTTGAAGTTTCTTCGCATCTTATATAAGCTCTAGATCAATATTTATCATCAGAATTTGCATCTCATAAAGCACAATATTAATCAAATAGGCAAATTTCATTCGGAATCTCTCATTAAATGAGAAACTCCGAATGAGATTTGCTCTAAGGTAATGTACTTGTTATGCTTGGCCTAGAAGCAAGGAGGAAACATGTATATGGTTTGTTTATACTGAAGTTATCTGGAATTCTCTCAATTGAGGATTCAAATCCAGATAACAGCAGTATAAGTTAATATTGTTGTGCACCTCAGGTTGTTTATAGGCCCGAGAACGAGAAAAGAATTTATGGTGTGAATTGGCTCGATATATACCTACGCTCTGTAAAAAATACGTTATATTTTCTTTCATATGAGAAAAATGTTTTTCTTTTTTATAATACTATGTGCTTTGTTACTTCATAAATTGTCTATTTTTCTTATTAAAACCTATTTTTTCCGTGTGATTCGGAATCTACGCATTCAAAAAATGCGTTTTCCGCTCTCAGAACGCGAAAATATGAACTACATGACAAGAGATATTGGATGAACATATTTATTTTAATTTATGAGTTTCAGAATTCTCACTCTTATATAGTGAAATGAAAGAATGAAAAAAATAATAAAAATATTTTGGTTTACTTCTCACTTAAATTAAAAGGTGCAAGATCACACGTTTCATCATCCACATACATTCTGTAAAGCACATTTTCGAGCTGCTCAACAATGATGTTGAATGATCTCATGTGGAAATTATCCTGATTTTGCCTCAAATCAATCAAAAGCTTTGTAACTTCATCACAAACAGGGAACAAAATGTCATCTTCATGTATTGGACTGATGATAGCTCCTTGAATCTTTGATTTCATCCAATTAAGCAAATCATTTTTGTATTTCTTGTCTTCTTCATTATTAAACATTGGAGTTAATCTGTATCCACAATGGAACTTACTTATAGATCCGTATTTTTCCCAAGTGAGCGGGGTATCTCTAATCCCAGCCCTATCGTCCTCCCAGTGTCAGTTTTTAATATAAAATCCAAAATTTTTTTAAAAATAAAAATTTCGAGAAATTTTTCTAGTTTTTTTTTCTTTGATTTCAATAATTCAAAATAAATTTTGGAGTAAAAAGACACTATTTAATGAAATTATAGATCCAAGGTGAAGTCATTTTTCTATCCCCGGGATAGACGATACACCCAAAATGTCACCTTTTTTGGGATTCTGTTTTTTTTTAAGGTTCTCGCTGGCGACCCCCCACGTTCGTCGAAAAAAAATTGGTGATTGGGGGGTCGCCAGCAAAAATCAATTTTTTTTCGACGAACGGGGGGTCGCCAGCGAGAACCTTAAAAATAAACCTCTGAAATTTTAAAAAGAAAAAGTGTGAAAATCCCCTTGATTCGAACCAATGGACTTTACGATTATACTATGACTCTTACCATTGAACTATGACTCTAAGGGTTCGAAAATTTATTTGGTGATAATATAAACTTTAATGAAAAATTAATCAGATCAATTTAGAAATATTTATTCATAATATTGAATGAATGTATAAATCTAAATAGTATATTATCAAAAAAAATAAAAAAAATAAAAATAAAAATAAAAAATTAATAATAATAGTACCATCACCACAATTAGCAAATTCAAAAGATATATGAATTGCTATCGATCTCTTTCAAACAAACACATAGAAATTTTGATTAAGTATTTCAAATTTTTATATGAGATAAATATTGAACAGATAAAATATAAAACAATTTTTAATAATAAATATAGATATTTATTTTGTAGCCATTAAAATTTCTCGGCTATCTAATAAAATTTTGTGAGAACGTAATCTTTTCAAATTTAGTATCAATCTTTGGTCTTTTATTGTTCTCTCACATGTTGCTTCTGAAGGTGAAGCGGAGATAACACGAAGGGCGATATCTGCAAAGATTGATACATTGCCATCTCTATGAGAGATTTCTTCCCAACCGTATTCTTGACGTTCTTGAATCATATCATCAGAGAAGATATCATTATCACTATTAATATACGTGTTAAATAGTGTAATAATATCTGTTATTGTTTGACCCGGAATACGAAATTGTTCCAAAATACTTTTGAGATACTGCCTAGCTGCAACAAAATGGTTAACCGGCTGATTTGAACTAGATGTTACATCTGCGAGATCAAGCATAGGAGGGTCAATTGTAGCAGTTACCTGACGAATTGATCCCTCCTCAACCATATCAAGAGAAACTTCAGTCGAACCTTCTTCAAAGATAGAGTCCATATAGATAGATTGAATGTCTTCTACTGGATTAACGAAAGTTACGTTTGTAATATCAAATGAATTAATTGCCGGAGATTCGTTGATCTGCGCTCCGTGGACGAATTTTTGGTTGAAATAATACCTACCTTTCGGTGTAAAAGCGAAGGCTAAGCACCAAAGACCTCCAAAGTCCGATCCAAGGGTATAGTTCAACAACGATCTTGAAAGGATTCCAGCAAAAGGATTGTTGTTGCTGCTGGAAAGGTATTGGAGTGCTTCAATACCCTTGCAAAGCCATACGTAGCAATCAGATATCTTGGTTTTATCTGATTCGAACGTGGAAATAAGCTTCTTGAGAATTGCCAAGCAGTCTCTTAAGAACTTGATGTTTTCAATATCAATACGCGTATATCTTGAAATTTTGTCTTGATACTTGATAATAAACATACAAATATTATAATCATAGATCCACCTGGTGGATACATGCTTTGGACAGAGAGCTCCGATGTCTTCAACATGGATTCTACAAAGAGCTGATATTTCGTGGATATGTTTCACAATTGCTCCTAATGCTACGTCTTTTGTTGTCATATATTGATAACAATTATGAATCCTGTGGCATAAACACGGGATAAACAAGATTTTGAATAACCTTGGGTCATTTGAGTTGTAGAACGATTGATTCCATCCTTTCTGAAAACATTTCAATTGCGCTTTATTGCCATCGCAAACTACACTGCTGATCTTAACATCTCTAATGAAGATTCTGTTAAATCCTTGAGTAAGCGAGTGGATATAATCTTCAGATGTTCCACCATTCATTTGGATTGACTCAACAGGATAGGGCCGCTTACTTTGCAGAGGATTTGTGAGGGAGAAGTCCAGATTGTGAAACTGCTGAGTCTTCCCCTCATCAATGGCAACACAGGTACAGGCAAGCTTAGCAAACTCATCAACTTTTGCAACATGGATTGAATTTGCAATTTGTATCATTGTTTGCCTTAGTTTGTCAGTTGAAATAGGCTGGTATATTTGAGAAGCTAGTTTATCAACATTGATGTTAACATTGTGTAACTGTGGGAACTTCAATATCATCGAGTCTGCAGTATACATTATAATGGTTTTAACTAGCTTTGTAAACTCTGGGCTTGAGAAGGTATTCAGAGCCAAGTTAAATCTTCCAGTAAATGTAGCAAGCTGTTCATAAATATCCCCTAACGATATAGGTGTAAGCCCTGTTGCTGGGACGTTAGTTAGTATGACTAAGTTGGGTACTGAGGCACTGCGCGCCTCCGTACACCACTTAGCGGTTTTGACACTTTACGAAACCGGTAACGTATATTTTACAACACAACCATAACACCAACTTAACCTTAAATATTTACAAAACCATCTGACACATAAATGACTTCACTAACGACTTCACTAACGAATTCACTACCGTCCTCACTAAATAAAAAAATAACCTTATTTTATTTTTTTTAATTTTTTTTATTTCATTGTAAAGACATGTCTGACTACATTTACTATGACTCTTTCCCAGAACGTTTCCGTGAACTATTCAAAACTCAAGTAAAACTGAGAAACATGCATTTTAACAAAGACAGACCCATTGACGATGAAAGAAACCCTGAATATATTATAATACCTTATGATGCTAAATTTATTGCATACATTCCTTATGGTCGCAGAGGAACGAAAACTATTTCAACAAAGAACAAAAATTATTTCTGGAGCGATGAAGAAAATTGCCTTATCTACATAAATGCATACTTAAATAAAGCTACATATTGTACAAAAGAAGGTTGGACTGGATTTGAGCTCTACATATACGACGACGATGGAAACAGACGTTGTGTATACCCATACGATAATATGTACCATTGTTTTCATCAAGCATTAAACGAATACATAGTCAGTAAGGGTCTCATTCCTGCTGAGTAGAAATGCTTTATTTTTGTTCCCACATTTATATAAAAATAAATGATATCACCACCCTCACACGTATGAAAACATCCATTTAAATTTAGGTGAAGTGGTGAGATCTCACCTCTTTTTTCACCTGTTTTTTCACCCTGTTGAACTCATTGCTTTATAACTCTCTTCCTTTATCCAACTCTTCTAACTTCTTCTTAAGTTCAGCAATGTTGTCCTCATGAAGTTTAATCTTTCTCAAAATTCCTTCTTTATCTAATGGTTGCTTTATCTTTCTAAACTGAACTCTACCATCCTTCATAGTATGAATGTAAAAACCTTCTGGAATAGTTCCTGATTTAATGTATTCTACCAAAAACTTTTGTTTCATTGCTTCAGTGACTTTATTTGTCATTTCAATCAAATAAAAATTTTAATATTAAATAAAAATAACGTTATTTTTTCAGTAAGGAAACGCAGGAGTTTTACGATTTATTTGTGGTGTAGGTTCTGGTTTAAATGTTGGAGTCGGTTTTGGAGTTGACTTTTGAACAGGAGTTTGTAATTCCATAGGTTCAGGAGTCATTGAAGGTGTTGTTTGTGAAGGCGTTGGTTTTGGCGATGGTGTCGGAGTTTGTTTAACTTCAGCTACTTCAGTATTATTTACAACATTTGCTTTATTTCTTTTCAACATCATTACTGCTCCTGCTGTAGCTAGCAAACCTAGTGGGAGACCATATTTTATATAAGGACTTGACCAAATGCTATTTTTGACAGGAGCTGGTGGAACACCTAACCTTGGTGAGACTGCTCTTTGCCATTGTGCAGCTCGTAAGAAATATTCAATAGGTGCTCCATAATCGTTTGGTAAAGTTTGTTTCATAGATGGTGAAGGTTCACGAGAGCTTGATGAAGAACTCATTTATAAGCTTTAAAAATAAACGTTCATCCTTTATTCCTCACTGTCGTCAGTTGCTAAGTTATAGTCGTCAAGTCTTATTATTGGTATGCCTGACTGTCTTACTTGTATTGCAAAGCAACAATCCCTCATAAATCCAATAAGTGGCTTTGGTACGTTTTCAGTTGCTAGTTCAATAGGTCCTTTAACAGACAATTTGTATGTTATTGGAGCAGTAGATGTTTGACCTTGCTGGAAGCAAAAGTCCACTTCAGTTGGAAAACCACATAAGAAATGTGTGTTGTCATAGCTATCCCATTTATGTTCCACACTACCATCATCCACCAATGACCTCATAACATCTTCATTAAATCCTATCATATCATTGTTTGTATTGCAGGCGTTCGCAACCATTTCATAAAATACAGGTCCATATGATTTTTCAGGTTCTGCAGGCATATTTCCATAAGCTCCCATGGAAAGCTGAAGATATTTAAACTTAGGGTTCTCAAAATTAACATAATAGTTGTCTTTCTTTCTAAATAGTGCCCAAATACTTTTAACATTAATAGGCGTATAAGCTGCTGTAAATGTTGCACTTGAACTATCTGTATTCTTTGAGAATGAACCATCCATAGGAATCCAATCCATAACTTTAACAGGAAAACATAAAGCCTCGTTTGTATAATGTTCTACAAGTTCTGTATAAATGTTAGGGTCTAAAGAGAATGACTTTGGATGAATGAAACATTCATTAAAATCCAGCTTTGTTCGAAATAGTTGCTGGGTTACAGTTGTAATAGTAACTGTTCCACTAGATTCTACTGCCTTCGTTATCATAGTGAATGGTTCATTCCATGGAACAAATTTATTTGTCGGTGGATTTGAATCTGAAGCAAATGCAACTTTAAGAGTTGGATTGAAAGCAATGATATCATTTACAGATATAGATGTGCATTGTAAGGCGTCGCTACTGAACTTTACTTTAAGCTGAATGTTTCCTGCAAAAGCTGGAATAAATCGAATAGCTTCTAATGGAAGGAATCTTCTAACAGGAATTCTTAAACGAAGCTTAAAATCAAATGATTTTCCTGCTGTAATTGGACCACTAACAATTTGTCCTGTTCTGCATGTTCCCGAATGACTCCATACATCTTCATGTCGAGTCTTTGAGAAAACATCTACTTTCTTTATTTGTTCGGTAGTTTGTGAGTTTGAAGTTATATATGCTTCTTCTCTTGCGTTGTCTTGAGAATATACGATACGACCATTTGCAAGGATTTGATATCCAGCAACTGCATAGAAAGCGTCATCGAAACCAATCCAAAATCCTGGTGGGTTTGTTTTATTGGAACCTGAACCAATTTCTTTATCTACAATAAATTGACCTTCCATTTTATACGTAATGAATGTATTGTAAAGGTCCAACATATTTTCACCAGGAGGTGAGAGATTGAATGTTACCCATGTGTTATCTTTAGCAGTTCCAGGTTGTGATGGAATCTTTGCGTCAGAATATTTTCTATTAGTGTCACCAATTTGAACTGCATTGTCTATGATATCGAAATATGAGCGAATCTGATGAATATGCTCTGCTGGAGTAAATTCGTTTAACTGTTCGTTCTGCATGTATTTACTTCGGATAAAAATATCTATTTACTTCATTATTCTCACTCTTCTTCTTGGCATTCGTGGTGGAAGTTGTTTCTTGACATTTTCAATGAACTGTACATTCTCTTTTGTCTCAACTTCTTTCACTGGTGGGTCAGGGTTCTTTGACTCGGTTTGTTTTTCAATGAAATTCACAAACTTTGCAATAAGCTCTTGGTTCGTTATTGAAAGTACATCTGGCTTCTTTTCTTCTGGTTCTATTGACTTTTCAGTTTGAACAGAAGGTTTTATATGGGCTTCGTGGACTTCACCCTTACCATACACCTTAATGTTGTCGCTTTCTGCATTCGCTAATGGAACCTTTCTTTTTCTTACGTATATTTTACCATCTTTACTCTGACTTACGTAATAGAAAGGATGTTGTATTCCTCTTGCGTCATTTAATATAATAGACTCTCGCTCTGATTTTGACAAGCTCATTTTACATCGGTTAAAGTTTTAATTTTGTTTTTTATCTGCAGTCAAATGACTCAGACAAGCCCTACGGACAAGACCCAAGGGGTCATAGATGTTGAATCATTGAAGAAAGAAATTCGCGAGCAAATTTTATCCGAACTGAAGGAACAAAAACAAGAACAAAAGCCAGAGAGACCAAAGAGAAAACTTAGTGAAAAACAACTTGCTGCATTAGCTGCTGGAAGACAAAAGAACCCACGTTTGCTGGCGAAGAAAGCTAGAGAAGAAGCTGAAGCAAAAGCTAAAGAAGCTGAAGCAAAGAAAGAGTAAATGGTTTATTTTTATCCGAATTAAATGTATAGACAAATACCTTTATCTGTTGCGTTCAGTAGTGAAAACCCTGACATCAAAATAAAGGGGAACAGAGTAACGTTTAAGTTTCCAACAGACTGGATTGTGAACATAAATGAAGAGAAGTACATTGGCATAATATCTATGTATATAACACGTGCTTTCAGAAAGGTTGACTTTATACTTCAAGTCGAGATAGAAAATGACGAACAGTCTTTAAGCGCCCAAAACATTCACATATACAAATACTTTAAAGACGATACAACATTGTTGCAATGCATGATTTCATTTAATGAGATGTTCGAGAAAAAGTTCAACATTGAAGTACAAACTTTACAGCCTTTACGTGAGTTTCTTACACAACTGAAAGAAGAAGGTAGTCAGCCACAACTTATAGACTTTCATTATGAATTTAATGAAAATGAAGATGGAACACATGACTGTCAGTTTGTTGTATTCTCACCATTCAATGAAGTCGCTAAAGAGAAAGAAAATCCATTACGTATAAGATTTCAAATCTCTGAACCAAGTGATGATTTCAAGAATGTTTTCAATTATGATGCAATGCTTCCGAGGAAAAATGAATTTTCAAAGATTGTAACACCTGGCATTTGGGATAGAAAGCAAGCTATATTATATTCAAACTTAAGTAAGGGAGTTGAAAATGAGTTCATTGGTCATACAAGAACTTCACCACTTCCTAACCCTAAATACTATAAATTAACTGGCTTCAATCGTGAGTTTTGGATAGACATGTTCTCCACTCATGACCATAACTGTCCAGTGTTCTTACCTCCAGACCATAAGGACTGTCTCTACATTGAAGCACAACTCTTAAACTCTACCATCGCAGTATTGTAAATGACCACATGGGCTTATTTTTATCACGAATGACCTCATTGCTGACAAAAATAAATGACCTCAGAACTTCAACTTACGAATAAAGCTTGTTTTAGTCGTTATTGAGAAGTTAAACTTCTCTTCAAAGCAAGGTTGACATGACTTACATAAGTCAAATCCAATCTCTTGACCATCATGAAGTGCTTTGTAAAGTTTCATTAAACTGAACTCAGAGTCTTTGTCATATGTTCCTTGCGGAACCATTAAACCTTTATCTTCATCATAGAAACACTGAACAGAGTCAGGAAACATTTCATTAGCGGTTAAAGCAATAACATCTTGCTTCACGCCTTTCATTCTGCAGTGAAATGCAACTTCATTTAAATCATTCGTGAGTAAGTCTATGTAAGTCTTCTTTCCACAAAATATTGACTTGTATGCTAAACTTTGTTTTCCAGGTGTTATTTCTGCGAAGTCAGAATGAAATTGACCAAGGTTTTTACCAATGAGAACTCTTCCATAACGTTTCTCAAACTCTTCAGCGAGTTTTGGTATGTCTTCATTATACAGGTGCATCGAATCTGTATCGCTATAGGCTATATACAAACCCATGTCCTCAGCAGTACAGAATACTTCACACATTATTCTCTTCGACATAGACAGAATGTTAACACCAAGTGACAGAAGTTAAAGTGTCTGCAAATGCTTTTCGTTAGCTTGAAAATAGTTTTATCTGAATCATCCAAACCTTCGAACTTCACTATATGGTTGTAGTTTCTGATGGCATATCTTATAGCATCTTTGTCATTTACTATGGTTATTTTTGACTCAATAGGAGATAGAATAGTTTTGCCATAAATGCTGTTCAGAATGAGCTTTATATTTTCTTGCAAAGGATTTCCTTCTTTCTTATACTTTAACCTTAACTCAAACAACTTCTTTACTTCATCTCTTATTCTAATATCTCTGTTTCCATCGTAATAGTATCCTTGCAACACTTCACATTTGACACCTTGATATTTTATGAGGTCTTGTAATGTATATGGTCAACATACATTAAACAGCAAGTGTTTGAACTTCTGGGAACGTTAAGTTCTGGATTTAGTTCAGGGTCACAAACTATTAAAGGAAAGTGTCTATGTATTCCAATCTCTGTTATCTTAATGAGAACAAAGAAGCCAGACATAAACTTTTCACCAATGGGTTCCTTTTGGTCGTCATCGAATAAATGTCTCATGAGATACTCTGTGCTTAACATTTCTTCCTTCATAACCTTTGGAATACCTTCTAAAGTATAGAGTCTTGCAATTGCTGAAGGGTATAATGAAACAGCGTCGAAGTCAGCAATGAGTTTCTTTTCGCTCTTTTGTTTCATGTTATCTGACAACATACATCTTCCACCTTGAATACAGCGTGAAATAAATTCTCTTGGTTTATTTGAGAGGTCATAAAGATTTCCATTCGGGAAGTACACTCTGTTCTCAAACAATTTGTTAGCAATTGAACAAATACTAACGTAGTCATAAACGTTTAAATCAAATTCTTTCAATATGTCATTGCGGAACTTAACAAAACCTTCTCTTAAAATTCTTACATCTTGTTTGCAATAAAATGTGCTATACTTTTCTAAGTCGAAGTGGTTCTCATCTATTCTGCAACCTTTGATGGAATCTATGTTTTTCATGAATGTATCCGCATCCCTGATAAACTTACACGCTTCAGAAATGACACCAGTTCTGTTGTCATTTGCTAACAAAACACTGCTGTAGTAGTTGTATGGAAATACTTCTTTCGGTCCTGTTTGTAAGTTAAACATAGCAGGAAATAGTTTAAGTTTCTTATTTATAACACTGTAAGAGTCTTTTATAATAATTGCCCTTCCTTTATATAAGCCAGTTATTTGCATTGTTCGTGAACCTTTAATGATGGGAGTTCCTTTCACTTCTGTCATGTGTCTTAAGATGAAGTTTATATCATAACTGAGGTTATGGAAATATATTAAACTCTCGTCAGGAAGTCGTTCCAAAAATTCTGTTGCACAGTTCTGACCCCATATTAGAGATGCGAGTTTCCGAATTTTTTTAGCCCTGGGATGTCATAACCGCTGCGGTTTTGTAAAATTTGGGATAAATTTTGACAATCCATTTTTTGTGGGATGTACGTTTATATCAATTTGCTCGGCGTTTGCCGAGCTATTGTACAATCCTACTCGAATTCATTACGCAGCCCTGGTCACTCAAAGGCCAGGGCATACAATTACAAAATAGTAGAGTGAGACTCTTCTAATTTCTTCCAATCACAAGGAAGATCTTAGAAGAGCCTCACTCTACTCGAACACATTACGCAGCCCTGGTCACTCAAAGGCCAGGGCATACAATTACAAAATAGTAGAGTGAGACTCTTCTAATTTCTTCCAATCACAAGGAAGATCTTAGAAGAGCCTCACTCTGCTCGAACACATTACGCAGCCCTGGTCACTCAAAGGCCAGGGCATACAATTACAAAATAGTAGAGTGAGACTCTTCTAATTTCTTCCAATCACAAGGAAGATCTTAGAAGAGCCTCACTCTGCTCGAACACATTACGCAGCTCCTGCTCAACAATGAGCAGGTCTTACCACTTTGAGAGGCTTTCGCTCGAGTTCTGATGCAGATCCCAACGCGAGCGAGAGTCTCTCAAGCAAGCTTCTAATTCGTAGCTAGAGTTTCACTCTTATGAACTGGCAGCCAATTTGAGAGACTTTCGCTCGAGATCTAATGAAAAATCAGAACTCGGCCAAAAATTGCCCAAACAGGCTTGTAATTCGTAGCTATAGTATTGATCGTATGGATGTGTTGCCAATATGAGAGACTTTCGCTCGATGTCTGATATTGCATCAGACATCGAGCGAAAGTCACTCAAAACAGCTTAGACATGTCTATTTTGACGGCATTAAATGATTTCATAGGAAATGTCTCAGTTGTTAATTAAGTTCACGTGAGCTTTTATGAATGAAAATAAGTAAAAAAAAAGAATTTTCTCAAAAAAAATTGTGTACGCATTGAAATTTTTATCTATAAATTTAGATATGTCATCAATAATATAATATAATTTTAAATTCGTGGAGTACACTTGGGATAATTGAATATGGGCTACCCCATCCCAACCTCTCAAACTTCCTCTGAATTTGGACAAGGTATCCCAATCCCAAAGACCTATCTGAATAAAATGAAATAAGTATATTATATATATTATTTATTTGCTAATAATGAGCATAAATCGCTAAAATTATGAAGAAATTAAAAATTAAAAATTAAAATTAAAAAAAATGTTGATTTAATGAGAGAATATTGTATAAAAATAGAATTATTAGCTAAAATACGTATTAATTTTATGATATTTCAATCACATTAACGAAAATCGCCCATTTTTAATTCAAATGGGCGGGAAAAAAAATAAAATTCCAAAAAAAATTGAATTGGGGAAACGATAGGGGACGGGATATGAGAAACCCCATATGTTTGGGAATTTTTCGCATCACTACCATATGCTTTCACTCACTGAACCATCTTCACTGTCATAACAGATGTTAAAAGCTTTATGAAAGCCATCGGTACTGCACTCAAAGTCAGCAAAGAAAACGTGCTCAGGAATGAACTTGCACTTATTTTTATTTACTTCTTTTGACTCGGCTTTCTTCTTCAGTTGTACACAATACTTTGGAGCATATGTCAAATCTTTAAATGTTGCAAGGTTCTGTTTATATAAGTCAGTAGTATATGTGAAAAGTTCTCCATAAGAAATAGGTTCGAAATATTTGCACTCCCACAATGTTTTCATAACATCCCATAACGGTGTTGTTCTATCATAACGAACTACATATTTATCTTCTCTCTTTGTATAAATCTTCATTTTGTTTCTCAATGTTCATTCCACCACAAGCTTTGAGAATTTCTATATAGTTGCGAATGAAATATGTTGTCATTGGTAATCTTTCGTTTAGCATGTAGTGGTCTTCAACAAGAAGTAAGTCAATAGTTCTAACAGTTTCACATTCTTTTGGTATGTATCTCTTTATTTCATTATGTCTTGAGTCATTGAAATAACCAATGGTAACATTAAATGCTATACCTGTTGCGTCAGAAATTTCTTGTACTTTACTTTGAGGAAAGTCTCTAACACGAATGACTTCTCTCATGTGGTCAATAGTTTCTTCATCTACTCCAGCCTGAATGCAAGCATAAACGAAACAATTGTCTTCTGTCATAAGTGCTGCAGTTCTTTTGTTCAATTCATTGAAAATTTGGTAGCGCTCAAGATTTATAGGTAATGTGCAAAGATACTTCCAGAACTGACCGCTTCTCTTCTTATAAAACTTCTTTTCACCAAGGATTTCATTCCAGAAGTCATCTATATCTTGTTTATCTCCTGTTTGTTTAAGTCTGTTCAATAATCTTTTCTGTCTTTCTGTCAGTGTGCTTTCATCTCTATATGGTCACTTCTGTGGCTTTCCTTTCTTAACATCTGACATCGTTAAGCCTTCATATTCTGTTAAATCATACATCTTTATTTCAGTAAGATTCTTTATGTTTGTCAAGAAGAAGTCATAGTGCATTTCAACAATACCTGCAGCATTTGCTTCTATCTCTGATATAAAGTTCTCCTTCAAGAGCTGATGTAGTAATGTTCCAATATTATTGAGGTTTAACGTAGAACATTCATACTTTCCACCAAGTTTATAACATACCATCCATCTCTGTTGTGAGTTTATTTTAATCTTCTCTAAGAGTCTCATGAAAACCTTACCGAAATGTTTGTGTAAGTAGTCTCTGTTTGGTTCATCTAAAGCTTCGATGTTAAAGTCAATGAGTCTATTGCCTGACTTCACATTTCTCTTCCTATTCTCTTCATCTTTCTTTAACCATCTCTCACCTTCTTTTGGTTTGTCGTCAATGGAACGAATGACATCGTTAGCTTTACGAACTTGTTCTATAGCACTTTTAAACATCTCTCTTCTCTGTTGTTTCAGTGTGTCGTCTCTTCTTCTTGTTTCACCAACGTTTGCATTTGTTATGTCAAACATTTCTCTTCTTACTTCATGAGGTACTGAACGTCTATGATATAAGTCAATAGCAATGTCATTTAAAGGAAATGCTATTGCATGAACTTCGTCCTCGCCGCGTTGCGGCTTTATGAACTCATGAATTCTATCATAACTTATTGCACCATTATAGTCTTTAATGAAGTCGGCGAGTGCTTTTTTGTTTGTTGCGTAATGTGTTGCTACTTCTATGTTAGCTTCTGTAAGAAGTTGTTTTATTTCCGAGTGTTCTAACTTAGACAACTTCCGATACATCTTTAGTAGGAAATAAAAAATATTTTTTGAAAAAATTAGATTAGATTTTTTTTTAAGTTATTTTTCAAAATAATTTAATATTTTTATTTTAATGAAACACATGCAAGATTGCAAGTTCTTTTCATACAATGCTCTCGCTACTGCCATCAAGAATGAGTTCAATGGTGCTTCAAACGTTAATGTTATCTTTAACAAGAAGTTTGTGAAAGAATCTAAGTTTGGTCAGTATGTCAGACCATTAGCTATTGTCATTGACCGCAAACGTTATACTTCACAAGAGTTAGCAGTAGTTTTGAAACAAAAGAGTTTCTTCGTGAATGTCAAAGATACTCATTATACCGTCATAAAGAACTCTAACATTGACTTCTTCAGTATTGCTATGAATCTTTCCGAACAGAAAGAATATAAGAAGGGTGAAACATCTGTGAAATATTATCCTTCATCTCTGAAGACAATAACGAACAAAGATGTTATACAGAAATTCTTACCAAAGGTTGAAGAAGCTTCTATTGACATTGACGAAGGAAGTGAAATGGTTGAAGAAATAGACCCTGACGTCATTTAAGCAAAAATATATTTTTGGTTAGTCTTCATATCGATATTTTACAACAATTCCCCAATGTATAAACTTTTCATACGCTTTTTCATAAGCTTTATATACCTTCAGAAATTTTGCATAATCTTTAGAAGCATTTAGATATTGTTTAAATGCTTTGTATGTCTTCAGAAATTTTGCATAATCTTTTACATGTTGTTCGTTCTCTTCTTCTGTCATGAGTTCCGAATATTCTAAATTCATGTTCTTTCATATGAGATAAAATTTTATAAAAAAAATAAAATTAGCTTAGATTTTTTTTTATTCTTCCTCTTTGAAGTTGTCGAAATATTCTGTTATCTTTTCCTTCAGTAGCGGTAAGTCTTCTTTGAAGGTAAGTATTGTACAACCTTTCATATCATAGTGTGTTTGAGGAAGAGTATTTTTGACAATTTCCTTTATTTGCTCATTCGGTGTCATTGAAATCGGTAAGTTTTCACGATAGAACCAGTTTCTGTCAGATTTGTAAATCTTAGCAAGGTCGTAAAAGCTTTTGTTGTTTCTTCTGACTAAATGCAACATAACCATATCTCTATCTTCTTCTTTCTCCAACTCTTCAGCGTAAATCATATACTTATAACTCTTTTCCTTTCCTTTTGGTACTGAACGTGGTATTCTTTTCTGTATGCTTTTGTCTTTGGATTCAATGACTTCATCTTTTGCTTGAAGTTTCTTTTCCATCTCTCCACGTTCAGTACCAAAAGGAAAGGAAAAGAGTTATAAGTATATGATTTACGCTGAAGAGTTGGAGAAAGAAGAAGATAGAGATATGGTTATGTTGCATTTAGTCAGAAGAAACAACAAAAGCTTTTACGACCTTGCTAAGATTTACAAATCTGACAGAAACTGGTTCTATCGTGAAAACTTACCGATTTCAATGACACCGAATGAGCAAATAAAGGAAATTGTCAAAAATACTCTTCCTCAAACACACTATGATATGAAAGGTTGTACAATACTTACCTTCAAAGAAGACTTACCGCTACTGAAGGAAAAGATAACAGAATATTTCGACAACTTCAAAGAGGAAGAATAAAAAAAAATCTAAGCTAATTTTATTTTTTTTATAAAATTTTATCTCATATGAAAGAACATGAATTTAGAATATTCGGAACTCATGACAGAAGAAGAGAACGAACAACATGTAAAAGATTATGCAAAATTTCTGAAGACATACAAAGCATTTAAACAATATCTAAATGCTTCTAAAGATTATGCAAAATTTCTGAAGGTATATAAAGCTTATGAAAAAGCGTATGAAAAGTTTATACATTGGGGAATTGTTGTAAAATATCGATATGAAGACTAACCAAAAATATATTTTTGCTTAAATGACGTCAGGGTCTATTTCTTCAACCATTTCACTTCCTTCGTCAATGTCAATAGAAGCTTCTTCAACCTTTGGTAAGAATTTCTGTATAACATCTTTGTTCGTTATTGTCTTCAGAGATGAAGGATAATATTTCACAGATGTTTCACCCTTCTTATATTCTTTCTGTTCGGAAAGATTCATAGCAATACTGAAGAAGTCAATGTTAGAGTTCTTTATGACGGTATAATGAGTATCTTTGACATTCACGAAGAAACTCTTTTGTTTCAAAACTACTGCTAACTCTTGTGAAGTATAACGTTTGCGGTCAATGACAATAGCTAATGGTCTGACATACTGACCAAACTTAGATTCTTTCACAAACTTCTTGTTAAAGATAACATTAACGTTTGAAGCACCATTGAACTCATTCTTGATGGCAGTAGCGAGAGCATTGTATGAAAAGAACTTGCAATCTTGCATGTGTTTCATTAAAATAAAAATATTAAATTATTTTGAAAAATAACTTAAAAAAAAATCTAATCTAATTTTTTCAAAAAATATTTTTTATTTCCTACTAAAGATGTATCGGAAGTTGTCTAAGTTAGAACACTCGGAAATAAAACAACTTCTTACAGAAGCTAACATAGAAGTAGCAACACATTACGCAACAAACAAAAAAGCACTCGCCGACTTCATTAAAGACTATAATGGTGCAATAAGTTATGATAGAATTCATGAGTTCATAAAGCCGCAACGCGGCGAGGACGAAGAAGTTCATGCAATAGCATTTCCTTTAAATGACATTGCTATTGACTTATATCATAGACGTTCAGTACCTCATGAAGTAAGAAGAGAAATGTTTGACATAACAAATGCAAACGTTGGTGAAACAAGAAGAAGAGACGACACACTGAAACAACAGAGAAGAGAGATGTTTAAAAGTGCTATAGAACAAGTTCGTAAAGCTAACGATGTCATTCGTTCCATTGACGACAAACCAAAAGAAGGTGAGAGATGGTTAAAGAAAGATGAAGAGAATAGGAAGAGAAATGTGAAGTCAGGCAATAGACTCATTGACTTTAACATCGAAGCTTTAGATGAACCAAACAGAGACTACTTACACAAACATTTCGGTAAGTTTTCATGAGACTCTTAGAGAAGATTAAAATAAACTCACAACAGAGATGGATGGTATGTTATAAACTTGGTGGAAAGTATGAATGTTCTACGTTAAACCTCAATAATATTGGAACATTACTACATCAGCTCTTGAAGGAGAACTTTATATCAGAGATAGAAGCAAATGCTGCAGGTATTGTTGAAATGCACTATGACTTCTTCTTGACAAACATAAAGAATCTTACTGAAATAAAGATGTATGATTTAACAGAATATGAAGGCTTAACGATGTCAGATGTTAAGAAAGGAAAGCCACAGAAGCGACCATATAGAGATGAAAGCACACTGACAGAAAGACAGAAAAGATTATTGAACAGACTTAAACAAACAGGAGATAAACAAGATATAGATGACTTCTGGAATGAAATCCTTGGTGAAAAGAAGTTTTATAAGAAGAGAAGCGGTCAGTTCTGGAAGTATCTTTGCACATTACCTATAAATCTTGAGCGCTACCAAATTTTCAATGAATTGAACAAAAGAACTGCAGCACTTATGACAGAAGACAATTGTTTCGTTTATGCTTGCATTCAGGCTGGAGTAGATGAAGAAACTATTGACCACATGAGAGAAGTCATTCGTGTTAGAGACTTTCCTCAAAGTAAAGTACAAGAAATTTCTGACGCAACAGGTATAGCATTTAATGTTACCATTGGTTATTTCAATGACTCAAGACATAATGAAATAAAGAGATACATACCAAAAGAATGTGAAACTGTTAGAACTATTGACTTACTTCTTGTTGAAGACCACTACATGCTAAACGAAAGATTACCAATGACAACATATTTCATTCGCAACTATATAGAAATTCTCAAAGCTTGTGGTGGAATGAACATTGAGAAACAAATGAAGATTTATACAAAGAGAGAAGATAAATATGTAGTTCGTTATGATAGAACAACACCGTTATGGGATGTTATGAAAACATTGTGGGAGTGCAAATATTTCGAACCTATTTCTTATGGAGAACTTTTCACATATACTACTGACTTATATAAACAGAACCTTGCAACATTTAAAGATTTGACATATGCTCCAAAGTATTGTGTACAACTGAAGAAGAAAGCCGAGTCAAAAGAAGTAAATAAAAATAAGTGCAAGTTCATTCCTGAGCACGTTTTCTTTGCTGACTTTGAGTGCAGTACCGATGGCTTTCATAAAGCTTTTAACATCTGTTATGACAGTGAAGATGGTTCAGTGAGTGAAAGCATATGGGGTCAGAACTGTGCAACAGAATTTTTGGAACGACTTCCTGACGAGAGTTTAATATATTTCCATAACCTCAGTTATGATATAAACTTCATCTTAAGACACATGACAGAAGTGAAAGGAACTCCCATCATTAAAGGTTCACGAACAATGCAAATAACTGGCTTATATAAAGGAGGGCAATTATTATAAAAGACTCTTACAGTGTTATAAATAAGAAACTTAAACTATTTCCTGCTATGTTTAACTTACAAACAGGACCGAAAGAAGTATTTCCATACAACTACTACAGCAGTGTTTTGTTAGCAAATGACAACAGAACTGGTGTCATTTCTGAAGCGTGTAAGTTTATCAGGGATGCGGATACATTCATGAAAAACATAGATTCCATCAAAGGTTGCAGAATAGATGAGAACCACTTCGACTTAGAAAAGTATAGCACATTTTATTGCAAACAAGATGTAAGAATTTTAAGAGAAGGTTTTGTTAAGTTCCGCAATGACATATTGAAAGAATTTGATTTAAACGTTTATGACTACGTTAGTATTTGTTCAATTGCTAACAAATTGTTTGAGAACAGAGTGTACTTCCCGAATGGAAATCTTTATGACCTCTCAAATAAACCAAGAGAATTTATTTCACGCTGTATTCAAGGTGGAAGATGTATGTTGTCAGATAACATGAAACAAAAGAGCGAAAAGAAACTCATTGCTGACTTCGACGCTGTTTCATTATACCCTTCAGCAATTGCAAGACTCTATACTTTAGAAGGTATTCCAAAGGTTATGAAGGAAGAAATGTTAAGCACAGAGTATCTCATGAGACATTTATTCGATGACGACCAAAAGGAACCCATTGGTGAAAAGTTTATGTCTGGCTTCTTTGTTCTCATTAAGATAACAGAGATTGGAATACATAGACACTTTCCTTTAATAGTTTGTGACCCTGAACTAAATCCAGAACTTAACGTTCCCAGAAGTTCAAACACTTGCTGTTTAATGTATGTTGACCATATAACATTACAAGACCTCATAAAATATCAAGGTGTCAAATGTGAAGTGTTGCAAGGATACTATTACGATGGAAACAGAGATATTAGAATAAGAGATGAAGTAAAGAAGTTGTTTGAGTTAAGGTTAAAGTATAAGAAAGAAGGAAATCCTTTGCAAGAAAATATAAAGCTCATTCTGAACAGCATTTATGGCAAAACTATTCTATCTCCTATTGAGTCAAAAATAACCATAGTAAATGACAAAGATGCTATAAGATATGCCATCAGAAACTACAACCATATAGTGAAGTTCGAAGGTTTGGATGATTCAGATAAAACTATTTTCAAGCTAACGAAAAGCATTTGCAGACACTTTAACTTCTGTCCACTTGGTGTTAACATTCTGTCTATGTCGAAGAGAATAATGTGTGAAGTATTCTGTACTGCTGAAGATATGGGTTTGTATATAGCCTATAGCGATACAGATTCGATGCACCTGTATAATGAAGACATACCAAAACTCGCTGAAGAGTTTGAGAAACGTTATGGAAGAGTTCTCATTGGTAAAAACCTTGGTCAATTTCATTCTGACTTCGCAGAAATAACACCTGGAAAACAAAGTTTAGCATACAAGTCAATATTTTGTGGAAAGAAGACTTACATAGACTTACTCACGAATGATTTAAATGAAGTTGCATTTCACTGCAGAATGAAAGGCGTGAAGCAAGATGTTATTGCTTTAACCGCTAATGAAATGTTTCCTGACTCTGTTCAGTGTTTCTATGATGAAGATAAAGGTTTAATGGTTCCGCAAGGAACATATGACAAAGACTCTGAGTTCAGTTTAATGAAACTTTACAAAGCACTTCATGATGGTCAAGAGATTGGATTTGACTTATGTAAGTCATGTCAACCTTGCTTTGAAGAGAAGTTTAACTTCTCAATAACGACTAAAACAAGCTTTATTCGTAAGTTGAAGTTCTGAGGTCATTTATTTTTGTCAGCAATGAGGTCATTCGTGATAAAAATAAGCCCATGTGGTCATTTACAATACTGCGATGGTAGAGTTTAAGAGTTGTGCTTCAATGTAGAGACAGTCCTTATGGTCTGGAGGTAAGAACACTGGACAGTTATGGTCATGAGTGGAGAACATGTCTATCCAAAACTCACGATTGAAGCCAGTTAATTTATAGTATTTAGGGTTAGGAAGTGGTGAAGTTCTTGTATGACCAATGAACTCATTTTCAACTCCCTTACTTAAGTTTGAATATAATATAGCTTGCTTTCTATCCCAAATGCCAGGTGTTACAATCTTTGAAAATTCATTTTTCCTCGGAAGCATTGCATCATAATTGAAAACATTCTTGAAATCATCACTTGGTTCAGAGATTTGAAATCTTATACGTAATGGATTTTCTTTCTCTTTAACGACTTCATTGAATGGTGAGAATACAACAAACTGACAGTCATGTGTTCCATCTTCATTTTCATTAAATTCATAATGAAAGTCTATAAGTTGTGGCTGACTACCTTCTTCTTTCAGTTGTGTAGAAACTCACGTAAAGGCTGTAAAGTTTGTACTTCAATGTTGAACTTTTTCTCGAACATCTCATTAATGAAATCATACATTGCAACAATGTTGTATCGTCTTTAAAGTATTTGTATATGTGAATGTTTTGGGCGCTTAAAGACTGTTCGTCATTTTCTATCTCGACTTGAAGTATAAAGTCAACCTTTCTGAAAGCAGTGTTATATACATAGATATTATGCCAATGTACTTCTCTTCATTTATGTTCACAATCCAGTCTGTTGGAAACTTAAACGTTACTCTGTTCCCCTTTATTTTGATGTCAGGGTTTTCACTACTGAACGCAACAGATAAAGGTATTTGTCTATACATTTAATTCGGATAAAAATAAACCATTTACTCTTTCTTTGCTTCAGCTTCTTTAGCTTTTGCTTCAGCTTCTTCTCTAGCTTTCTTCGCCAGCAAACGTGGGTTCTTTTGTCTTCCAGCAGCTAATGCAGCAAGTTGTTTTTCACTAAGTTTTCTCTTTGGTCTCTCTGGCTTTTTGTTCTTGTTTTGTTCCTTCAGTTCGGATAAAATTTGCTCGCGAATTTCTTTCTTCAATGATTCAACATCTATGACCCCTTGGGTCTTGTCCGTAGGGCTTGTCTGAGTCATTTGACTGCAGATAAAAAACAAAATTAAAACTTTAACCGATGTAAAATGAGCTTGTCAAAATCAGAGCGAGAGTCTATTATATTAAATGACGCAAGAGGAATACAACATCCTTTCTATTACGTAAGTCAGAGTAAAGATGGTAAAATATACGTAAGAAAAAGAAAGGTTCCATTAGCGAATGCAGAAAGCGACAACATTAAGGTGTATGGAAGGGTGAAGTCCACGAAGCCCATATAAAACCTTCTGTTCAAACTGAAAAGTCAATAGAACCAAGAAGAAAAGAAGCCAGATGTACTTTCAATAACGAACCAAGAGCTTATTGCAAAGTTTGTGAATTTCATTGAAAAACAACCGAGTCAAAGAACCTGACCCACCAGTGAAAGAAGTTGAGACAAAAGAGAATGTACAGTTCATTGAAAATGTCAAGAAACAACTTCCACCACGAATGCCAAGAAGAAGAGTGAGAATAATGAAGTAAATAGATATTTTTATCCGAAGTAAATACATGCAGAACGAACAGTTAAACGAATTTACTCCAGCAGAGCATATTCATCAGATTCGCTCATATTTCGATATCATAGACAATGCAGTTCAAATTGGTGACACTAATAGAAAATATTCTGACGCAAAGATTCCATCACAACCTGGAACTGCTAAAGATAACACATGGGTACATTCAATCTCTCACCTCCTGGTGAAAATATGTTGGACCTTTACAATACATTCATTACGTATAAAATGGAAGGTCAATTTATTGTAGATAAAGAAATTGGTTCAGGTTCCAATAAAACAAACCCACCAGGATTTTGGATTGGTTTCGATGACGCTTTCTATGCAGTTGCTGGATATCAAATCCTTGCAAATGGTCGTATCGTATATTCTCAAGACAACGCAAGAGAAGAAGCATATATAACTTCAAACTCACAAACTACCGAACAAATAAAGAAAGTAGATGTTTTCTCAAAGACTCGACATGAAGATGTATGGAGTCATTCGGGAACATGCAGAACAGGACAAATTGTTAGTGGTCCAATTACAGCAGGAAAATCATTTGATTTTAAGCTTCGTTTAAGAATTCCTGTTAGAAGATTCCTTCCATTAGAAGCTATTCGATTTATTCCAGCTTTTGCAGGAAACATTCAGCTTAAAGTAAAGTTCAGTAGCGACGCCTTACAATGCACATCTATATCTGTAAATGATATCATTGCTTTCAATCCAACTCTTAAAGTTGCATTTGCTTCAGATTCAAATCCACCGACAAATAAATTTGTTCCATGGAATGAACCATTCACTATGATAACGAAGGCAGTAGAAGCTAGTGGAACAGTTACTATTACAACTGTAACCCAGCAACTATTTCGAACAAGATGGATTTTAATGAATGTTTCATTCATCCAAAGTCATTCTCTTTAGACCCTAACATTTATACAGAACTTGTAGAACATTATACAAACGAGGCTTTATGTTTTCCTGTTAAAGTTATGGATTGGATTCCTATGGACGGTTCATTCTCAAAGAATACAGATAGTTCAAGTGCAACATTTACAGCAGCTTATACGCCTATTAATGTTAAAAGTATTTGGGCACTATTTAGAAAGAAAGACAACTATTATGTTAATTTTGAGAACCCTAAGTTTAAATATCTTCAGCTTTCCATGGGAGCTTATGGAAATATGCCTGCAGAACCTGAAAAATCATATGGACCTGTATTTTATGAAATGGTTGCGAACGCTTGCAATACAAACAATGATATGATAGGATTTAATGAAGATGTTATGAGGTCATTGGTGGATGATGGTAGTGTGGAACATAAATGGGATAGCTATGACAACACACATTTCTTATGTGGTTTTCCAACTGAAGTGGACTTTTGCTTCCAGCAAGGTCAAAATCTACTGCTCCAATAACATACAAATTGTCTGTTAAAGGACCTATTGAACTAGCAACTGAAAACGTACCAAAGCCACTTATTGGATTTATGAGGGATTGTTGCTTTGCCATTCAGTGCGTGCTAATGGAATCCAATAATAAGATTAGATGACTATAACTTAGCACGACGACAGTGAGGAATAAAGGATGAACGTTTTTTTTAAAGCTTATAATGAGTTCTTCATCAAGCTCTCGTGAACCTTCACCATCTATGAAACAAACTTTACCTTTACCAAACGATTATGGAGCACCTATTGAATATTTCTTACGAGCTGCACAATGGCAAAGAGCAGTCTCACCAAGGTTAGGTGTTCCACCAGCTCCTGTCAAAAATAGCATTTGGTCAAGTCCTTATATAAAATATGGTCTCCCACTAGGTTTGCTAGCTACAGCAGGAGCAGTTATGATGTTGAAAAGAAATAAAGCAAATGTTGTAAATAATACTGAAGTAGCTGAAGTTAAACAAACTCACACCATCGCCAAAACCACGCCTTCACAAACAACACCTTCAATGACTCCTGAACCTATGGAATACAAACTCCTGTTCAAAAGTCAACTCCAAAACCGACTCCAACATTTAAACCAGAACCTACACCACAAATAAATCGTAAAACTCCTGCGTTTCCTTACTGAAAAAATAACGTTATTTTTATTTAATATTAAAATTTTTATTTGATTGAAATGACAAATAAAGTCACTGAAGCAATGAAACAAAAGTTTTTGGTAGAATACATTAAATCAGGAACTATTCCAGAAGGTTTTTACATTCATACTATGAAGGATGGTAGAGTTCAGTTTAGAAAGATAAAGCAACCATTAGATAAAGAAGGAATTTTGAGAAAGATTAAACTTCATGAGGACAACATTGCTGAACTTAAGAAGAAGTTAGAAGAGTTGGATAAAGGAAGAGAGTTATAAAGCAATGAGTTCAACAGGGTGAAAAAACAGGTGAAAAAGAGGTGAGATCTCACCACTTCACCTAAATTTAAATGGATGTTTTCATACGTGTGAGGGTGGTGATATCATTTATTTTTATATAAATGTGGAACAAAAATAAAGCATTTCTACTCAGCAGGAATGAGACCCTTACTGACTATGTATTCGTTTAATGCTTGATGAAAACAATGGTACATATTATCGTATGGGTATACACGTCTGTTTCCATCGTCGTCGTATATGTAGAGCTCAAATCCGGTCCAACCTTCTTTGTACAATATGTAGCTTTATTTAAGTATGCATTTATGTAGATAAGGCAATTTTCTTCATCGCTCCAGAAATAATTTTTGTTCTTTGTTGAAATAGTTTTCGTTCCTCTGCGACCATAAGGAATGTATGCAATAAATTTAGCATCATAAGGTATTATAATATATTCAGGGTTTCTTTCATCGTCAATGGGTCTGTCTTTGTTAAAATGCATGTTTCTCAGTTTTACTTGAGTTTTGAATAGTTCACGGAAACGTTCTGGGAAAGAGTCATAGTAAATGTAGTCGGACATGTCTTTGTAATGAAATAAAAAAAATTAAAAAAATAAAAATAAGGTTATTTTTATTTAGTGAGGACGGTAGTGAATTCGTTAGTGAATTCGTTAGTGAAGTCATTTATGTGTCAGATGGTTTTGTAAATATTTAAGGTTAAGTTGGTGTTATGGTTGTGTTGTAAAATATACGTTACCGGTTTCGTAAAGTGTCAAAACCGCTAAGTGGTGTACGGAGGCGCGCAGTGCCTCAGTACCCAACTTAGTCATACTAACTGACGTTTTGATAGTATTGATCGATTGTTTGTTGTGATGCTACTTCTCCTGGTGTGCATATGTGCCGTTTGTTTTGGATCCATTTTTTGAAATGATCCTCACGCATTTCTTCCATTGCACAGCGGCATATAGTTCCGTCAGGACGCTTTACTAGTTCATTGCATTTAACATAATATTTTCCGTACTTGTCGCCTGGTTTTTTATATCTAAGATACTGATGCTTAGTACCGACCTCAATGTCTTTATAGTACGTCGGTACTGCATCAATCATTGTTGAAATAATGAAGTGATTACTTAAGCATTTTTATTCTCAATTTGTTTTGAATAAATTCAATTTTTTAATGCATAATTTTTAAAAATTCTCTAATATACCTTAGATATAGATACATTTATTATCAATTCAAAAATTTCAATATAGTTTTGGGATGGGTGAGAAAGGGACAGACTAGCCCATTGTCACTTTTTAATTTAGCAAATGAACGCTTATGGAGTGGAGTTTTTGGGTAAATCTGATTTGCTTATAAATGAAATAAAATCAAAAGAAACCATATTGGCATTATATTATGCAAAAATAAATGATCTTACTTAGTACTTTTAAAGTTAATTTCAGAAAAAATTTGACACAATGGTATCCGGCACATACAAGTTGTGTACAACCAAAATATAAGTTGGTTTAAACATATATTGCTATATCTCATGATCTTACTTAGTACTTTTAAAGTTAATTTCAGAAAAAATTTGACACAATGGTATCCGGCACATACAAGTTGTGTACAACCAAAATATAAGTTGGTTTAAACATATATTGCTATATCTCATGATCTTACTTAGTACTTTTAAAGTTAATTTCAGAAAAATTTGACACAATGGTATCCGGCACATACAAGTTGTGTACAACCAAAATATAAGTTGGTTTAAACATATATTGCTATATCTCATGATCTTACTTAGTACTTTTAAAGGTAATTTCAGAAAATAATGAAAATTACAAGTTTAAGGTTAATGAAAAGTGACAACGGGCGAGTTTGTCCCCCACTCTGGGATGGGTAGCTTCTGAAACTCCACCTATTATAAAATAGGACAGTTTTCTTCTGAGGCTTCTCATCAAATCTAAGACTTCAGAAGAAAGCTGTCCTATCCGTGTATACTTACATTCTGATGGACTACAAGTGTACAACTTTAAGGCAGAGATTATCCGAGGCCTCTCATCAAATGAGGGACCTCGGATAATCTCTGCCTTAAGTAGTCAAATAGCTTTTCTGACTATTCAGGGACAAGAGAACAAGAGTTGGAATACTCTAAGGCAAGGTTCTTCCGAAATCTCTCATCGAATGAGAGACTTCAGAAGGACCTTGCCAAATCCTTGAACACCGATATCCTTGGAACCGAGCTAGGACCAAGGAGAAGTAGTGTACTATAGCGCACGATGGCAATCTCGGAAATACTTATGTTGCCACATGCACAATATCTATTCAGCCTGACTCCTATATACAAGAAGTCAGGCAGAATAGATATTGTGCATATGATTTGCAGAACTCTCATATATATAAATTTTTGTTATCCCAAAAAGGTGACACTTTGGGTGTATCGTCCATCCCAGGGATGCAAAATTCACATCACCTTGTATCTATAAACTTACTTCTCAATTCATTTGAAATTCCTTCGAAGATCAATTCTCCATTTCTCATCACAAGCATTCTGCTGGAAAGAATTCCTGCTTCTTCAATAGAATGTGTACTTACAATTGATGTGATATTGTAACATGAAATCGCTTTCCATATTTCCTGTCTAATGCTTGCATCCATTCCAGCTGTTGGCTCATCCAAAATGACCAGCTTTGGATTTCCAATGAAAGCGATTGCAGTGCAAAGTTTTCTCTTTTGACCGCCACTCAATGTTGTTGCTTTCATGTTTTCGAGTCCATCTAATCGGAAGTTACTCAAGCTATGATCAATAACTTCTTTCAGTTTAGTATTTTCGACGCCTCTTATTGTTGCAAAGAATTCAAGGTGCTTGTAAACATTCAATCTCTCAAACAAAATGTTTTCTTGGTAACAAATTCCTAAATGTTGTTGCAATGAGCTGAAACCAGAAACGCATTTCTCACCAAATATTTTAAGATCCCCTTTATCACTACTGATGCTTCCTGTCATTGCATTCAACAAAGTACTTTTTCCTGAGCCATTAGGACCAATTAAAACAGTCACATCTCCTTTATCAATTGAAAGAGAAACATTTCGAAGAGCGTGAACAGGGGTTGAACCTTTATATGTTTTATCTAAACCAATAACTTCAATGAAGCGTTGACCTTCTATTTCAACCAATTGTTTTCTTCTAAATGAAAATAGTTGTTTCCAAGCTGTCAAAGAGAATATGTTTGAAAATCCAATTGGTGCAGAACCACAATTCCTAGGCATTAAAATGTTCAACAAGAAAAAGAGAAGTAAATAAGCACAAATGAAACCACATGTTATTCCTAATATAACCCAAGAATTCTTCCATCTCAATAAAATTCCCATATTTTTAATTGTAAATGGGAAATTAAATACTTTTGAAATCATGATGTTGTCTATGAACATTGTTGACATCCATTGTGGAAGGAACATCATTATTGATGCAAAATGCAATATATTTGTTGTATCATCAGCCATTGTAAAATTGATGTTTGGTATGATGCTCAAAATCAAAAATATTGCAGTGAAATATGTTTTGTATTTTGTGAAAATGGCAAATGGAATAGTATTCAAAAAGAAAACATAATAATAAAGAACTAATGGAATTACAAATAAAAGAATAAGGAAGAAGTTTGATCCTTGGGCTGATTGCAAATATAAAATAACTGTTACTAAAATAATGTTTAACATTATCGAAATTAAATCAATTGTCAAATTTGCAAGGAAAATTGTTGTTTCATAAGCTCCAGATATCTTAAGAAGCAATAGTTGCTTTGTCTCTCTAGCCTCTGCCATTTCAAATATTGGAATAATGAATGAAACTGTGATTCCTGTTGCAACAAGCCATTCAATAAAAACATAAATGAAATTTGTTCTCTCAAAAGAAGACGAGTATATAAGAATTTCCGAAAAAGTGACACCCAAAAAGTAACACTTTCAATAGGGAGTAACACCTAAAAAGTGACAATTTAAAATTCACAATAAATAAAAATAATAAATTTTTTAGTCTATTAAATTATTCTTTTCTTTGAAATCCTCCAAAAATTCTTCGAAATGTTCTAAAATATAATCTGGAGAATTATAACAAAATTCATTAATTTCTAACATATACGTATCTAACAATTCATTTGGAATTTCAAACGATCTTAAATATGTAATTGAATTTTGTATCTTCTCATTTATTTGAGAAAGTTTTTCTTCAGCATTTTCCAATAAAAATCTTAATGGATTCAAATTGGCTTCTTGATTCTGAACAAAATTTAATACTTGGTATAAACGTGATTGAACTTCTCTTTTCAATTTTGTTTTATAATCTGTCAATCGAGGCTCGCGAATTCTAATTGAAGGAATAAAACCTGTTTGAAGTAAATCGTTTTTAATACGATAAAAGTAATTGGGTGCAACTTCTTCTAAAAGATTTTTGACAAAAACATCAATTCTTTGATTTTTAACGCAGCCAAAATCGTGATATTTTATCTTTTTAAATAAAGATTCAGAAACGTTATTCACAACGGTTAATTCATTTGGTCTGGCAGCGGCTATCCACTGTTGTTTATGAATGTCCCACCGACGTGTAAAGTATTGATTAAATTCCAATTGATCTTGAATTTTATCAATAATGTGCTCTTTATACATTTTTGCAGCATCTTCTTCTGTGCAATCACGATAATAACATAAAATGTTCATAAATTTTTCGACTTCTGATCTAATCTCTTCATCATTTATCTTTGAGAGATTCTTTTTAAGTGCGCGTATTACATGTAGCGCGCACCAAAAGATATTGCACTCCGGAAATGAATTCCTAATCCCGTTGTAAATGTTTAGTGCACAGTCAGACATGATAAATTCAGGTTCTGTGTGAGTTGTTTCAAAATATTTACTTAAGCAAAAAGAAATATTTTCACTATTATCTGGATATATTATAAAATAACACAAAGGGATAGAATGAGTATTAGCAAATTTGGTAGCTAATACATAAAAAGGAAATCCATGAATAATTAATTTAAACGTAGAGTCTAAGTGATAAATTGGTGGTTTTTCATGAATTTGAGAGATCATATCATTATCAGAGTAAATAAAAACCAATTTGTCTGGAAAATCAGTATCTTCACCTTGAATGTCAAAATAAATAAGGTCATCATGTTGATCTTCCCATCGATTAACATAGTTTTGTAAAGATTGAAATTGATTTAAAGATATGTCTGGTAAAGATCTCATAAGATCTTTTTGTTGTAAATAATATAGTTAGTAAGACTAAGTTGTGTACTGTGGCACTGCGCGCCTCCGTACACCACTTAGCGGTTTTGACACTTTACGAAACCGGTAACGTATATTTTACAACACAACCATAACACCAACTTAACCTTAAATATTTACAAAACCATCTGACACATAAATGACTTCACTAACGAATTCACTAACGAATTCACTACCGTCCTCACTAAATAAAAATAACCTTATTTTATTTTTTTTAATTTTTTATTTCATTGTAAAGACATGTCTGACTACATTTACTATGACTCTTTCCCAGAACGTTTCCATGAACTATTCAAAACTCAAGTAAAACTGAGAAACATGCATTTTAACAAAGACAGACCCATTGACGATGAAAGAAACCCTGAATATATTACAATCCCTTATGACGCAAAGTTCATTGCATACATTCCTTATGGTCGCAGAGGAACGAAAACTATTTCAACAAAGAACAAAAATTATTTCTGGAGCGATGAAGAAAATTGCCTTATCTACATAAATGCATACTTAAATAAAGCTACATATTGTACAAAAGAAGGTTGGACCGGATTTGAGCTCTACATATACGACGACGATGGACAGACGTTGTGTATACCCATACGATAATATGTACCATTGTTTTCATCAAGCATTAAACGAATACATAGTCAGTAAGGGTCTCATTCCTGTTGAGTAGATATGCTTTATTTTTGTTCTGTCATTTATAAAAAAATAAACTTAAAAATTAATGATATCACTACCCTCACACGTATGAAAACATAGCACAAAAATAAATTTAGGTGAAGTGGCGAGATTTCACCTCTTTTTTCACCCTGTTGAATTCATTGCTTTATAACTCTCTTCCTTGGTTTCTTTTTAGTTGCTTTCTTCACGTCTGTCTCCAACTTGACTGTCTTTCTTCTTCGTCCATAATGATACCAATTACTTCCACCAGTCAATGGGTCAAATGGTCGTTCATAAGGGTTTCCATACATTCCATAAGGTCCGTATGGATAAACCGCTGGTGGAGAAGAAACATTTTCTTTAGTTCCATCGACTCTATTTAAATGCATTGTTTCACCTTTCATCTGGTCATTAAAGTCTTTTGCGTGTTTTGCAAACTCATCGTCCTTTCCTAAAGCATTTTCTGACTCAGTCGCAACCAAATTGGATGCTTTATTTATGAGCCCTATTTTATTTAATCTTAACTTCTTTGCAACCCAGCCTCCAATCTTTCCTTTATTTGCATCTAATGTCTTTGAAACCCTTCCTCCACTCATTTTATTTACTGCGTCATAAGCTCCAAGTGCTTTTGCTCCAAATGCTAATGCTTTTGTTCCCATTGCGCCTAAAGCTGCCCAAGCTACCATTTACACCATATTAAAATCATCTCTCTTCAATATTATCTCATAAAAGTTCTCGTTACTGGAGAAAGTCAATGAAACATAAGCGTTCTCACGGGCTTCGCCCTCACCGCTTTGCGGTCTATCTAACTTCTTTCTTATATCATCTATACGCTTCAAAATGTCTGAACAATTGCTAACATCTTCTACAACAGTTATTTCATCATGAATGACCTTCAAGAACAAGCTCATTTAATATGCTATTAAAATCATCTCAATAATGAGTCCATCCTTTCCGTCTTTGGGTAGCACAACATCTTTCATTGAAGAAGGTTTGACAAGTCTTATGTTAAACTTACTGACAAAGTTTGTTATACTATAATGCTTTGGCGGCGAATACATGTAGTTTGAAAGACATAATATAGATTCTTCAGCAAATTCACTTATACTGGATTTTATAACAATGTTCTCACGAGACCAAATGACACCAATTGACAATCTTGTAAGCAATCCTGCTGAACCTTCAACTGTAAACGTCGATGGTAACATTCCACGAAGGTCATCTATTGACATCTTTGAGTCACTGAATTTAAAGATTTTCTTAAAGCAATCGTCATTATCTAACCATGCAATAGCTTTGAAGTTTTCATTCGAATATACATCTGCTTCATTAAATGTAAAACCTGACTTCTTTGCAGAGACGACTTTAAAATCTATTGAGTTTGTTTCAAAATTATATGCTATGGTAACTTCTGAAGGTAATGGATGTCCTTCCGCAGTAAGTTGTTCTCTCACTACCGTTTGAAGCTTTGTGTTAAAAACTTTCATGTCATCTCCTGTGTCTAGGTTCACATACACAGCAACAGGAAAACTATCTTGCTTCTTTGTTTCATCATTATACCTCAAAACATTAAAGTTCTTCAATAATATTGTTCTTCCTGCTGGAATACTTCTAACTTGTCTTATTTCAATAGCTTTCTCACCTCCTACATACTCTACCCAGTGTCTTGGATATTCATAAGTATACTGACTTTCTTGAATTTTGATAGGTTTCATCATAACGTGTTCATAGTATATCTTTATACTCTTGTCAGTTAGACTCGGTGCTATGTTCTGAATATTTCTGACTTGCATTTTTAATGGAGATAAAATGAAGCATTTAATACATGACGTAGATGAAGACATGAATGAAACTACAGACAAACTTAACTCTTCTCTTATTCTTCCTTTCAGCAAAGATTATGAATTCTGTTCAAATGGCGTTTATTTCTATTGTGGAAAGATGGAGTCAGGAAAGACATTTAATTTAATTCGTCATATTCTTATAACAGAACGTTTAGGAAATGACTCATATTATGACCAAATCATTATATCAGCAACTTCGGACTCTATGGACTCAACAGCGAAAACATTTATGTCAAAAGTTCAAGCCTCTGTCGTTAAAGTTCCAGACAGTGAACTCATTGAATTTCTTCAACGTTACATTCGACGTAAGAGAAAATATTATGCCATCGTTGAATTTATACAGTCAGGAATGCAAAAGACCTCTGAGGAGATAGAAAGAATTATTGACAAACACCACTTACGTCAATACTCAGGAGTATACGATATGAAACGACTTACAAACTACATTCTGTCAAAACTTTCAAAATACCCCTTCAAAAAATATCCATCAAACACTTTATTAGTTTGTGACGACTTCCCCGGAAAAGGTTTAGTGTCAAAACCAGACTCACCATTAGCTAACATCATAACTAAAGTCAGACATTACCATTTAACTGTAGCAATACTTATGCAAACATGGAGGTTTTTAGCTTTAAACATAAAACGTCTCATAACTGACTTCGTTATCTTTCAAGGTTTCTCACGTTATGATATTGAACTCATTTGGAAACAGTCAGGTATAACATTACCTTTTGAAGAAATTTGGGAAGCATATAAGTCTCTCATCTCTCCTCGTTCATACCTTGAGATTCATATCATGACTAATACCATTAAAGTCAAAAATATTCCATGGGAACGACCAACATTATTTTAAAGCTTAACCTTCAATTGACTGATGGTAAACAAATTCCATGCATCTCTGTCGCCATTTCTGTTAATATTTTTGCTGTCATTCATATCATCCACTTCCCCATCCGTTAGCTTTTGAGGATATGCGTTAGAATAGCTGTTCTTAAATGAAGGCTTTTCACCTTTGAGAGCATAAACTCTATAACTTTCTGCATACTTTATGTTTGAACCTCCTGAGCCATCATTGACATAAATTTTTATAGGCTTCCACCCTTTGTTCATGTTCCTGCTTCTTCCCTTAGCTCTTTTGTTCAGTAGTTCTACATCTTTATACACAGCACCTGTCTCAGTGAATTCAACAATATTTTCATTCGTTAGCTTTACATTCAAACCCTTGTCGAGTATATTGTTCATTTCATACATATAAAAGGTTTTTATTCTATATGAAATGAGAAGCAAATCCATCTTAGCTGGTGCCGTTAATGTTCCAATTGAACCAACATCAAATGTTGACTCACGAACGACAAACAATATTGTCATAAAGAACTATAGTTCAGAGTGTTTGAAAGAACCAGAACCAGAGCTGAAATCCGTGAATTTAAACACAGCTTCAAACGCTAACGCTACATCAGATGTTAAGTTAGAGTATCCACCACTGGACCAAATTCTTTCAAGAGAAGCCAACGACAACCCTTACACAAATGTTCAAACAAATCCTTCAGATAACGTAGACCATTACCTTCTTCAGTTATATCAAACTATCTACTCAAAGACGATAAGAAGCTTTTGACAAATCTTATAAGCAAGAACCAAATAATTCTAACAAAGGAGGACCTTGAAAATGTTATCTCACGAATAACAGGGAAACAATGTGTCATTGACTATCTCGACCCTGAAATCGAATGCTGTGGTCAAACTCCACTATTCATGAAAATAGGTAACATCCGCATCATTAAAACACCAGGAACTACAGGAGTTGAGTTTAAGTATAAATATTCGAATGAATATACAAAACTTTCAACAGAATATAAACTTTGTTTGAAATATGTTTTAGTAAATTAAAGCAGTCAGTCAAAAAAATTTCAAGTTAACAACTTATAGTATCTGTCCAAAACTTCTTCAACAGTATCGAACTCATCTTCATAATGCAAACCTAATCTTATTGACTTGGTGCAGTTTTCACTAACACAATATTTTTCTGTTCTCTTGACTGACATAACTAACTCATTTGTTTCATCAAACAGCAACAACCAAAGTTCATGACCTAATACATAACATTCATACTTTATATTTTTAGCTCTGAGTTCTCTTGTAAGCTGTTGCATTTAATATTTTCTAAAAAGTCAACTTCAACAGTCATTCGCACTGGTGCCTTCAGTTCTACAGGCTCTCCTTGAAAGTCAACAAGTCTGAATTGCATGTCTTTCAACTTATGAGGACTAATGCGAACCCATTTACCTAAATGAGTTGCTATGACAGGAACGTTTGGAATGAACATTGAATTGACTGCATAACAGAAGGATTTATATTCTACTGAACCTTTACTATTAACTCCTGAAATGCCTGTGACATTAGCTATTTTAGACTCAATGTATAAACAATTACCATAACATACGTATGGAACAGATTTCATCTCAATCGTTTTGTCAACACTTTTCAAAGGAAATGTCATATGGTATGCTCCCAGAAGCAATTGAACTCTATGACTCATTCTTGGTATCTTAAACTCTTTCTCGCTGCTGAACTTCAATGTTCCCTCAGAAGAGAGTTCGACATCTATGTTGTCAATAGTTTCTTCATTTATGAGAGTATCTATGACTCCAGCAATTTTATCTATTCTATACCAGCTCTGTTAGGAAATTTATAACACTTCTTTTGTCATCTATTTCAATCTCTATGAAATCTGTTTCATCTGTTATGACAAAAGTTGCGATAGTATTGAAGTCAACAACTCTGAAAGCAAGTGCTTCATTCTGAAGACCTAAGTTTGTTTGTAGCTTTACTGTCCCGTATTCGTTTGGGTCTGTACTTTGCAAATAGAACAACATTTTATTCTCATTAAAATATGACTATTGCTGCATATGCGTATGAAACAAATGAAGCAAGAAGAGCACATGAACTAGTAAACGAAAACTCAACTTTAACCATTGAAGGCAATGATTTAGTCATTGACGATGGAAAAACTAAAAAAGTCATTGATTTCGATACTTTTAACACGTATGACCCATTCATTACAATAAGTAAAGTTCCTATCATAAATGATGGAACGGTGCAATATATAAATTCTACAGTAGATGCCTCATTAGTGAAAGTATTAAATGTTCTCATTGAATTGTTAAAGAGCTTTCGATTTGACGACAACATTAAATGCCTAAAGAATTTAGTCATGAATGAGAAACAAATTCTCGGCGTTGCTGGTAGCAGTAATGATGTACACCTTATGACATTAGAATATTATAACGAACATAAAGATGAACTGAAAGGAGAGAAAGGTGACACCGGACCTCAAGGACCACAAGGAATACAAGGACCTCAAGGCGAAAACGGTTTGGATGGTGAAGATGGAAAGGATGGAAAAACTGCTAAATCATGGATATGGAACATTATAAATACTGGTTTAACAGCTGCTTCATATGGAGTTCTTCAATACCAAATCAGAAAGATATGGGCAGTACTTGGTGAAGAAGTTTTAGATGACGTTAAAAATGCTTTGAACTTCATTTCAAATGGTTCGGATACTATTAAAACTTTATCTGGTTGGATGCAAGAAACAAGGAGTCAAATAGATACTGTAAGACGTATAGCAAACAATGCACGTACGGGATTGGATACTTTACGAGAAGCACAAAATACACTAAAGGAAGCAAATGATATTCTTGGCTCAGTATCAGACATGCATGAAGATTGGCTTAAAGGTATTGACAAATCTTTAAAAAATCACAGTCAGTCTATTGCTGACTACAAGAAAAGTATAGATTTTTTACATAGTGCTATGGACGTACATGATGGAAGCATAAGGAACTTACTTAATGCTAACAATAACTTACCAGGAACTATTAAAGCATTTATAAAGTCCTTTGTAAAACCTGGTGCTCTAACATTTAGGTCTTTGAGAGCAAGAGCATTGAAATCAAGAGATGCAGAAACTCCAACAGAACCTACAGAAACTCCAGAAGAACCACCAAAACCAACAGCTAATGAAATATTGTTCGAATATTTTCCAAGGTACTCTGTTCTCATTGCATACATTCAAGAAATACTTAAGAAAGCAGACTTGACTTTAGGAGATGATGAAAGTTCTGTATATCTTTCGTTCCAGTTTCAAATAGCAGAACTTTTGAGACAGATATGCTTAATGTATGACAACATCTCTGATTTCACAAGATATGATGACAACCATGACCCCGAACACGGTGAAGAAGAAGTTTTACAAACATCCATTAAGACAGGAAAGGTTTTAACACAAAGTCTCATTATTGACACCGAAGATGGTGAAGTGGATGTTCTTCAAGAGCTGAAGAAAAATACTTCTGAAGGAAGTGGTGGTAGGCATGAACTTGAAATAAATGAGATAGAAGAGAAATTAGATAGTAAGGCAGATAAAAACCATGTTCATTATATAAGTTCAGATGAACAGATTATAACGGATTATCATGGATATTTAACACAGGATGAAGAAGTGAAGACGAAAGATGTTAATGAAAGAAGATATAAATTCATTTGTGCTGAAGGTTATGACATACGCTGTACTGTACAGTATGACACAGGTAAAGCACCAGAAGCATTTAGTTATAACAATGAAATTTATGCTTCATACTTCTTTGTTAACGGTGTATTAGTTGAACCAAGATTTATGTTGAGAGTTAAGACAAAAATAACGTTTGAAGATGCTATTAAAAGTAAAGCAGACAAAGATGAACTTGACGCAATGAACAAAGTTTTGAAATCTCATAAACACAATATCTCCGATATAAATGAACTTCAAGCTACATTAAATAGTAAAGCTGAAAAGAACCATACACATGAATCCTTCACTACTGTTAGAGCAGACGACATAATATTGAACTATACCCTTGGTTCAAGTGCACCTTTAGAGAATCCAAGTACAAGCGTAAAAGATACACTAAACTCCTTAAATAACAAATGCACTAATATTGAAGGTCATGTCAGAAACTTTGAAACACATGAACTACCAGCAATGTTCGATAAGAAAGCAGATAAAGAACATACACATAACTCCTTCTCAACTGTTGCTATAGAAAGTATTGAAGGAACGGTTGGCGGAACTGGTGGGGATGCATTATATTATAAACCTCCTAACTTTCCACAAGGTTTAACATCGAATGAAAACATAACAACGAAGAAAGAAATTAGCTGTAAAAATGTTTATGTCATAGATGATGAAAATAATGTTAAATTCACTGCTCAAGATTTATATGATAAGAAAGCAGACAAAACAGAGCTTCAAACATTAAAGACTGAAATACTTCAAACATTATATCCTGTTGGTTCTTTATATACATCAATGAATTCAACAAATCCAGCAAGTGTTTTAGGTTTTGGTACATGGAAGCAGATTGTAGACAAATTCTTATATTGTACTAATAATTCAAAACAAGCCGGTGGTTCAAAGAAAATTAAAGAAGCAAACCTTCCACCGCACACTCATACAGGAACTACAAACTTTTCTGGCGACCATAGCCACTCATTAAGAGACCACCCATTATACAACTCAGACTATGAAGCTGGCAATGACGTTTTATCTCCATCTTATAACAATTCAGCAAAAAAGACTTTTCGACCAACTGAACCAGGAGGAAATCATGTCCATACTTTCACAACAAATCCAACAGGCTTGGGTAAAGATTACATGCCACCATTTGTGACTGTATTCGCATGGTACCGCGTTCAATGAACGCGCTTGAGCCTAGACCCTTTGGGTCAAGGCTTACCGTCTTGAATAAAATCTTTAACTTTACATAAATGAGCTTGAAAGAAGTATTCGAACAACATCCATGGAGGTCATTTAAGAAGTTCAATGAAGCAGCAAAAAGTTGGGGATTTACTAACAGAGCTGAAGTGAAAAGGTTCTTTGACAAAAATGTTGTACATCAAACAAAAATAAACCCTTACGACTACTTTTTACCAATTTACTCCAACACTCCTGACGCATACCAATTTGACACTCTCATTCAAAGCAGAAAAGGAGGACATAAACCATTCCTCATCTTCATTAATGTTAACACTCGCAAGCATATGCATATCCAATGAGGAATAAAGGAACTCGTGAAGTGTTAAGAGTTTTACAAAAGTTTGTAGCAGAACATAGCCCAAGTACTTTAACATCAGACCAAGACAGTGCATACCTCAGCAATGAAATCACAGATTTTCTCATTAAGCATAACATAACTCACTACACTACTGAAGACCATAACCATAACATACTCGGCATCATAAACCGCTTCATAAGGACTCTCAGAGATTTAAATCAAGAGCGAGACTTTACCGAAGAAACAATGAAACATTTTCTCGAAGTATATAATTCCTCAACACACTCTACAACAGGACATACACCAAATTCAATGACACAACAACAAGAAGAAAAGTATATACAAAAGAAACGAAGTCAAACACAAAATATCAGAAATTCAACACAATTTACCCTCATTCCTGGTACAAAAGTTCGTGTAGTTCTTGACGACAAACCGTTGACAAAGAAACGTTTAAGGTTAAGTCGAAATTATTATATCGTAGACTCTACGCAAGGTAATGGATATCTTATAAAAGCTGCTGACGACTCTATTGCGTTTTACCCTCGTCATAAATTAGTTGAAAGTAGTAATGGCAAACTTGCTGAAACCATTGACGAAGCAAAGCGAGGAGTGGTTATTGAAATACTTGGCTATAACATAAACGATGACACTTATAAAGTAAGATATGAAGGAGGCGTTGAAGATGTTATACCATCTAAGAACTTGAGAGAGTCGAAGCCAACACATCTGGGACCATTAGAGCGGGAGTATTGGAAAGACAAAAATATGCCAGAAAGAATAAGAAAATTCTTCTAAACTTTTTCATTAGATGAAATTTACACCAAAATAATTTTTAGGTGAAGAGGTGAGATTTCACCTCTTTTTTCACCTGTTTTTTCACCCTCGTGAATTTTCATGAATTTCCTTAAGATAGAAAAAATAAAGTTAGTTTTATTTTTATTTATTTTTTTATTTTGTATAAAAGAACAGAAATGTCAGTCGAAGCAAAAACAATTCACGTTGCGAACGGCGGGACTCTGTCCACAACTACAGCGCCAAACTCGTTAGTCATGAATCCTACGTCAATGTTGGTAGAGATGAAAAGATTTATTCCTTCTTCATATACTTTTGAAACAGAAATCCAGAAGATAAAGCAAGAACTTTTAACAAGTAATTTAGACTGTAGTGCGAAAGATGAAACAAATGAACAGTATCTTTATGAAATGGAGGACCTCATCGACCATTTGCCTAAACTACCTGAAGTTCAGCAGCAAAAACTAACTATTCCTGAATTCGACGAAATTGAAGTCAAAGCAACTGACTCAGTAGAAATTAAGAAATTCATACGTAAAGTAAATTATGAATTCATTGGTTTTCATTGCAACCATAAAGTTATGGACAAAGATTGCGATATGGTTTATAAGAACATCTCTGACATATATAAATCCGAAGAATTTAAGACATACGATAACTTTGTTTCATTAGTTGCAAAATGTGTTTGGGAAATAAGGGATAAAGATGGAAGAGGCAAAGTATGGAACGAACAAATAAGACCCGCTATGTTTGAGTTAAAGAAAACCATTGATGCCTTGGTTGTTCTAGCTGGTTTTATTTCAATGTATAACGCAAAAATGAATCCGCAATGTTCAAAATGTAAGGCAGCAATAAGAAAATATAACTACTCAGTCAAAGAGATAGAAAGAATGCGAAACGACTATGCAGACTTAAAGAAAGAAGCAGAAGATAAAATGGATATGTTGACATTTCTTAATAAAAACTATCCAACAGCAGAAGATTTCCTTCTGTCTGACGTCAAGAAGAAATATAAAGAGACTTTCGGCATGATTAAAACATTCAATGTACTACAAGAAGAAATAGAAGCTACGAAATTGTTTAGGATTTCAAATATACATCGTACAATTCATTAAAACGCTTGTGAAAAAACAGGTGAAAAAAGAGGTGAGATTTCACTCTTCACCTAAACATTATTTTATTGAATTCAGCACAAAATAATGAATTTCATTAGTTAGAAAAATAACGCTAATTTTTTTCTAAGAAAAATTTTTATTTTGTATGTAAAGACAGTAATGACAAACATTGAGTTTGAAACAGTTAGAAAGATAGACAATGACACCAAGTGGTTAGAATAGGTGATTTAAACGTAAGATACTCAAAGAAATACAACAAATATTCTTTGTCAGACATTATATCTCCATCTGAAAAGAAAACAAACGACTGAGTTAGAAATGCTTCAACTCAGAAAATTTTGACAAGAAATCCTGAGCTTATGATATCAGTAGCATTTCATGGAACAAGAGCATATCTTATAGACAAAAGTCTTATACCAATAGTTTTGTTATGGTTAGACCCAGTTGTTGGATATAACTTCATAACATATGGTTCATTCGACTCAGAACGTTGCAGTGAAGGCTTACTTTATATCGTTCAGAAACCGAAGGACTTCAACACAAAAAGATATAAGATCGGAAGGACATATAATATAACTCAAAGATATGACAGTACAGTCAATAGAGTCAAGGTTGTGTTTGTTAATGATATGAGAGCTGCTGAAACAGAACTGCTTGAAGTTTTTGAGAAAATGTATGGTGCTCCCACGAAAGGTAAAGAAACGTTTGAAGTAGATGAGATAGATAAAGCTATAAAATTATTTGACGAAGTTGCTGAAAAATACATGTAAAGCGTTTATTTTTGGTCTTTTGTGAAAGTCAGAAAATAACGCTAATTTTTTTCTAACAAATTTTTTTATTTTGTATGTAAAGACAGTAATGTCAACATTAGAGAACACAACAATTGCTATCGTTCATGAAGCCATAAATGAAGAATACGAATACATACAGTATAACAAACAATTGAGACTCATTCGTTCGGTCAAAGACGATATGTACCAGATGCAAAGTATAATGAACGCTCTTCGTTCTACAAAGCAAGCATATCATTGGTTTGAAAACCAACAGACAAAAGAACTTTTAGAAGAATTTCCTCATATGATTGCTTCCCTCGGAAAACCGAGAGAAGAGATTCCGTACGAAAATCGCAAGAATTTGGCTCCTGGTTTGAAAGGTTATTATGTTCATAGACTTTTAGTAAACGCTGTAGCAATGTGGGCTTCACCTCGTTATGCTTGTTATATTTTCATGATGTTAGATGAACTATATAAAGCAGAACGTGGAGAGGTGGAAAAGAAACTTCAAGCAAAAGATGAAGTCATTGAATCCAAAGACAAAAGCATACAGAAAAGAATACCGCGTTCAGTACCAAAAGGAAAGGAAAAGAGTTATAAGTATATGATATATACTGAAGAGTTGGAGAAAGAAGAAGATAAAGATATGGTTATGTTACATTTAGTCAGAAAAAACAACAAGAGCTTTTATGACTTAGCTAAGATATATAAATCTGACAGAAACTGGTTCTATCGTGAAAACTTACCGATTTCAATGACACCGAATGAACAAATAAAGGAAATTGTCAAAAATACTCTTCCTCAAACACACTATGACATCAAAGGTTGCACAATACTTACATTCAAAGAAGACTTAACATTACTGAAGGAAAAAATAACAGAATATTTCAATAACTTCAAAGAGGAAGAATGAAAAAAAATCTCGTCTGGTGCCACGTTAGGACCATAGTGGAGAAAACCATGATAAAAACAAAACCCTTCGTCGATTATGATCGACACTGAAAACATTAACGATAAAATTTATTTCCTGGACTGTTGTCATCATTTTTCAGTTGCAATGGAATATATCTAACCCCCCGTTAACTAATAAACTTGACGATCAGACGATTCTCTCTTCGTCAATTCTGTTCGACACTGATAACATTAACGATAACATAAACGATAACATAAATGCTCCATGTCAATTATGTTCGACACTGAAAACATTAACGATAACATTAACGATAACATAAACGATAACATTCATTTTTGCATTAATCCTGCTGTGTTGTCAAAATGTCATGTTGTCATCATTTTTAAGAGAAGTTAATTAACCTGGTAGCACATGGTAACATGGTAACACCATCAGTTCTTCAAAAATATATTTTTGCTTAAATAGCTTCAGGGTCTATTTCTTCAACCATTTCACTTCCTTCGTCAATGTCAATAGAAGCTTCTTCAACCTTTGGTAAGAATTTCTGTATAACATCTTTGTTCGTTATTGTCTTCAGAGATGAAGGATAATATTTCACAGATGTTTCACCCTTCTTATATTCTTTCTGTTCGGAAAGATTCATAGCAATACTGAAGAAGTCAACGTTAGAGTTCTTTATGACAGTATAGTGTGTATCTTTGACATTCACGAAGAAACTCTTTTGTTTCAAAACTACTGCTAACTCTTGTGAAGTATAACGTTTGCAGTCAATGACGATAGCTAATGGTCTGACATACTGACCAAACTTAGATTCTTTCACAAACTTCTTGTTAAAGATAACATTAACATTTGAAGCATTATTGAACTCATTCTTGATGGCAGTAGCGAGAGCATTGTATGAAAAGAACTTGCAATCTTGCATGTGTTTCATTAAAATAAAAATATTAAATTATTTTGAAAAATAACTTAAAAAAATCTAATCTAATTTTTTCAAAAAATATTTTTTTATTTCCTACTAAAGATGTATCGGAAGTTGTCTAAGTTAGAACACTCGGAAATAAAACAACTTCTTACAGAAGCTAATATAGATGTTGCAAAGCATTACGCAACAAACAAAAAGGCACTCGCTGACATCCTCAATGACTATAATGGTGCAATAAGTTATGATAGAATTCATGAGTTCATAAAGCCGCAACGCGGCGAGGACGAAGTCCATGCAAGAGCATTTCCTTTAAATGACGTTGCTATTGACTTATATCATAGACGTTCAGTACCTCATGAAGTAAGAAGAGAAATGTTTGACATAACAAATGCAAACGTTGGTGAAAAAGAAGAAGAGACGACACACTGAAACAACAGAGAAGAGAGATGTTTAAGAGCGCTATAGAACAAGTTCGCAAAGCTAACGATGTCCTTCGTTCCATTGACGACAAACCAAAAGAAGGTGAGAGATGGTTAAAGAAAGATGAAGAGAATAGGAAGAGGAATGTTAAGACAGGCAATAGACTCATTGACTTTAACATCGAAGCTTTAGATGAACCAAACAGAGACTACTTACACAAACATTTCGGTAAGGTTTTCATGAGACTCTTAGAGAAGATTAAAATAAACTCCCAACAAAGATGGATGGTATGTTATAAACTTGGTGGAAAGTATGAATGTTCTACGTTAAACCTCAATAATAGTGGAACATTACTACATCAGCTCTTGAAGGAGAACTTTATATCAGAGATAGAAGCAAATGCTGCAGGTATTGTTGAAATGCACTATGACTTCTTCTTGACAAACATAAAGAATCTTACTGAAATAAAGATGTATGATTTAACAGAATATGAAGGCTTAACGATGTCAGATGTAAAGAAAGGCAAACCAAAAAAGAGATCATATAGAGATGAAAGCACACTGACAAATGACCAGAAAGCCATTTTGGAAGCTCTTAAGCAAACAGGAAACCCAGCACTTATAGAAAGCTTTTGGAAAGATAATGGTGAAAAGAAGTTTTATAAGAAGAGAAGCGGTCAGTTCTGGAAGTATCTTTGCACATTACCTATAAATCTTGAACGCTACCAAATCTTCAATGAACTGAACAAAAGAACTGCAACACTTATGACAGAAGATAACTGCTTCGTTTATGCTTGCATTCAGGCTGGAGTTGATGAAGAAACTATTGACCACATGCGTGAAGTCATTCGTGTTAGAGATTTTCCTCAAAGTAAAGTACAAGAAATTTCTGACGCAACAGGTATAGCATTTAATGTTGTCATTGGTTATTTCAATGACTCAAGACATAATGAAATAAAGAGATATATACCAAAAGAATGTGAAACTGTTAGAACTATTGACTTACTTCTTGTTGAAGACCACTACATGCTAAACGAAAGATTACCAATGACAACATATTTCATTCGCAACTATATAGAAATCTTGAAGGAGTGTGGTGGAATGAACATTGAGAAACAGATGAAGATTTATACAAAGAGAGAGAACAAATATGTAGTTCGTTATGATAGAACAACACGTTATGGGATGTTATGAAAACATTGTGGGAGTGCAAATATTTCGAACCTATTTCTTATGGAGAACTTTTCACATATACTACTGACTTATATAAACAGAACCTTGCAACATTTAAAGATTTGACATATGCTCCAAAGTATTGTGTACAACTGAAGAAGAAAGCCGAGTCAAAAGAAGTAAATAAAAATAAGTGCAAGTTCATTCCTGAGCACGTTTTCTTTGCTGACTTTGAGTGTAGCACAGACGGCTTTCATAAAGCTTTTAACATATGTTATGACAGTGAAGATGGTTCAGTGAGTGAAAGCATTTGGGGTCAGAACTGTGCAACAGAATTTTTGGAGCGACTTCCTGACAAGAGTTTAATATATTTCCATAACCTCAGTTATGACATAAACTTCATCTTAAGACACATGACAGAAGTGAAAGGAACTCCCATCATTAAAGGTTCACGAACAATGCAAATAACTGGCTTATATAAAGGAAGGGCAATTATTATAAAAGACTCTTACAGTGTTATAAATAAGAAGCTTAAACTATTTCCTGCTATGTTTCATTTGCAGTGCGGTGAAAAGGAAGTATTTCCATATCAATATTATTCAAGCTCTTTATTAGCAAATGACAACAGAACTGGTGTCATTTCTGAAGCGTGTAAGTTTGTAAAAGATATTGATACATTCATGAAAAACATAGATTTAATCGAAAACTGCAGAATAGATGAGAACCACTTCGATTTAGAAAAGTATAGTACATTCTATTGCAAACAAGATGTAAGAATTTTAAGAGAAGGTTTTGTTAAGTTCAGAAATGATATATTGAAAGAATTTGATTTAAACGTTTATGACTACGTTAGCATTTGTTCAATTGCTAACAAATTATTTGAGAACAGAGTGTACTTCCCGAATGGAAATTTATATGACCTCTCAAATAAACCAAGAGAGTTTATTTCGAGATGCATTAACGGTGGAAGATGTATGCTGTCAGATAACATTAAACAAAAGAGCGAAAAGAAACTCATTGCTGATTTCGACGCTGTTTCATTATATCCATCCGCTATCGCGAGACTTTATACTTTAGAAGGTATTCCAAAGGTTATGAAGAAAGAAATGTTAAGCACAGAGTATCTCATGAGACATTTATTCGATGACGACCAAAAGGAACCCATTGGTGAAAAGTTTATGTCTGGCTTCTTTGTTCTCATTAAGATAACAGAGATTGGAATACATAGACACTTTCCTTTAATTGTTTGTGACCCTGAACTAAATCCAGAACTTAACGTTCCCAGAAGTTCAAACACTTGCTGTTTAATGTATGTTGACCATATAACATTACAAGACCTCATAAAATATCAAGGTGTCAAATGTGAAGTGTTGCAAGGATATTATTACGATGGAAACAGAGATATTAGAATAAGAGATGAAGTAAAGAAGTTGTTTGAGTTAAGGTTAAAGTATAAGAAAGAAGGAAATCCTTTGCAAGAAAATATAAAGCTCATTCTGAACAGTATTTATGGCAAAACTATTCTATCTCCTATTGAGTCAAAAATAACCATAGTAAATGACAAAGATGCTATAAGATATGCCATCAGAAACTACAACCATATAGTGAAGTTCGAAGGTTTGGATGGTTCAGATAAAACTATTTTCAAGCTAACGAAAAGCATTTGCAGACACTTTAACTTCTGTCCACTTGTGTTAACATTCTGTCTATGTCGAAGAGAATAATGTGTGAAGTATTCTGTACTGCTGAGGACTTAGGAATGGACATCTTTTATAGCGATACGGACAGTATGCATCTCTACAATGAAGATATCCCTCGTTTAGCTGAAGAGTTTGAGAAACGTTATGGAAGAGTTCTCATTGGTAAAAACCTTGGTCAATTTCATAGCGACTTTGCAGAAATCACAAAAGATAAACAAAGTTTAGCATACAAGTCAATATTTTTGTGGAAAGAAGACTTACATAGACTTACTCACGAATGATTTAAATGAAGTTGCATTTCATGCACGTTGTAAAGGTGTAAAACAAGACGTTCTTGCTTTAACCGCTAATGAAATGTTTCCTGACTCTGTTCAGTGTTTCTATGATGAAGATAAAGGTTTAATGGTTCCGCAAGGAAAATTTAACAAAGACTCTGAGTTCAGTGTTATGAAGTTATATAAAGCACTTTATGACGGTCAAGAGATTGCATTCGACTTATGTAAGTCTGCTACACCTGCATTTGAAGAGAAGTTTTAACTTTTCTATTCAGACTAAGACTTCATTCATAAGAAAGCTTAAGTTCTGAGGTCATGAATGAGAAAATAATGAGGTCATTTATTTTTGTCAGCAGTGAGACCATTCATGATAAAAATAAGCCGCTAGCGGCAAGGGCGAAGCCCATGTGGTCATTTACAATACTGCGATGGTAGAGTGTTTAAGAGTTGTGCTTCAATATAGAGACAGTCCTTATGGTCTGGAAGTAGCAAAACAGGTGCTTTATGGTCA